CCTTGCAATTACAAGTTACTTTCATTGGAAGGTCGGGGTTTAACTGTTCAAGCTGTGGTTTTAAATCTGCTTTTCATTGAGTCTGCAGATGAAGAAGAGCTTCTTAAAAAATACCAGAAAAAGGTTTTCAACATAATTGATAACATCACCTCAAAGAAGTATGAAGAGCAAGGAAAGTTACTTGATGCTGCAATAAAGGAATCACTCGTCAAAGAAATCCATGCTAATAGTAATATTAACCCCCAAAAGAGCAATTCTCATGTTGAAGGTGAATGTGAATCATGGACTGGGTTTGAAGTATTACAAGGAGAAGGACACCGGAGTCATGTCTATAAGTTCCAAGTGGACTTACTTTGCAAATTTTTCCCATATTTCAAGGAAGTCCTCACAGGCTTGAACCAAGACGATCTGGTGGTCATGAAGCTTTTCATCCCCAGTGTTGTTGCGAGACTCAGGGGGTGGCCCATCCCTGATACGGAGGATGTTAAAGCTTGCATNCACTCTTTTCTCAAAGAAGCTTCTTGTTATGAACTGATTGAAAGACACAATTCAAGTTCTGATGATGAGAAGGATAAGATCAACGTACCCACCCTATACTACTATGGAGCATTCCGCATGAATGTCAAAGACCTGGGCCCCATTGAAGGGTACTACTTATTATTATCGTACATCGAGGAAGATGAAACCAAAATCACCAAGTCAATGGTTGAAAATGGATGCAGACAGCTCGAAATGATGGGAGATATTGGGATCCAGCATCACGATATTGCAACGAGAAACTGCAAAGTTGCCAATGGCAATATTGTATTCTTGGACTTCTCTCATGCTAAGAACCGGGAGTCCAAATACGATAACTCTGACGATATTCATGATCTTAAATACATTTATGAGTACAACAAGCTCGAAGAAAGCGATGATGATAATTATTCCACAGTTGGATCAGCTCCATTCTCAGAGGTGCAATTCCCAAGCACTGCTGGAACAGAGCCTACAAATCCTGATTCAAAATAATCTCTATATCATGTATTAATATATGAATATGTTTATCTTTGGATTATATGTAATATCTTTAAATGTTTCAAAGGGGCTAACAAAAATGAAAAAAAAAAAAAAAAAAAAAAAAAAAAAAAACTCAAATTTGGCAATGCTGCCACAAGTTTAAGAGAACTAGCTTTATTGGATAGAATTTTTAGTCAAATAGCACCAATCTTATAGACTAATTCAATTGCTGCAAAAACCATGCAACTTAGTATATAACATAATAAAATATGATGGAACAATAAACCCATACACCGTATAAGATCACGTGCGTGTCATATGACCGAAATTTTTCACTTTCCAAATTGGTAAAAACCCCTTTTGCATCCCTTCCTACTTTAGTGTTCCATTTAACTTGAACAAAGTTGGTCAGTGAAGCTGAATTACGTCAATAGTCCGAATAAAGTTTGTTTATTGATGTTTAAGGGAAGGCCTACGAGTCTAGACGCAAACCAAGAGTTCATCTGAATTCTAGACTTTATTCAAGTTAGGATCAGGTTTAGCATTTAATAGGCATAAGTATGTTTAATAGGTATTAGAGTTAGGATTACAAGATAAGGTCAAATATAAATCTATACTGCCCATGTAACGGTGTATTGTTTTGTCAGGGGAAGACCATCGACCTAACAATAAAATTTGAGACATTCAAAAAAAAGTGAGTTGGCAACCATTTCGGTAGCTCGGAGTGCTGCTGATACACCAGTCAGGCAGTATCATATTGTAGTGGTATACATGTAACCAACGAGTGTAACTAGTGGGAATTAAGAAGCAAAACTATCGTTTTAAACGGTTCGTGTTTGTACCCTGTATAGGTTCATAATATCGCAGCCAACTTCTGAAATTTGCAACACAAATAAATGAGCCAGAGGTATTGCTAATTGCCGTAAATCGAATACTTAGCTACCAAAGATCATATAAAAAGTTAAGCTAATCTTTGGGAGGTGGTGTCAATATAGAAAACGATTGGTATAAATAGAATGATTACTTCACTAATATCGATAATTTTTTCCAGTTTAAATTTATATTTCCCATTATTACTAACGGTAAAACTGATATCATTGAATAATTCTAGTATAACAAGTGAGAATTGTATATTTTTATTAAATTATTGGATTTGTTTTATATTAGTGAATTATATAACAAGTTACCTTGGATATCAAATAATTTTTGAAGCGTTTAAAGTTTGGTTATTTTATTATCACGGATGCTTGATTATCAATTACTATTACTTTAAGAATTGCCTTCAAGTGATAACAAACGATTCATTATCATCATTTAGGTTATTTGAAACGAAATACTTAAATCCATTGATAAATCAGTTTTTCATCAATAATATTTTATTACAAAATTTTTTAAAAATTTTTAACTATATACCAGTTTTACAATCAGTCAGTGATTTTAATAGAGAATTGAAATTGAAACAAAATAAAGACTCTTTTTTACAAGTATCGATTAATTATTTATGTTATATTGACAATATGAAGGTATTAAATTCAAATTTTGAAAAAAAAATGAATGGGTTTTTAAAATATTTCATCTTACCTCCCAAAGAAGTAAAAGAAGAAGAAGATCCAATAGTAATTGATGAAAATATTCAAAATAATTTACGTAAAATAGCTAAACTGGAAAATAAAAGGGATGGTTTTAGTTCAAAGGAAAGATATATATCCCAAACTTATAATCTTGATACCAATAAAATGATTAAACCAACCAAAATGGTTTCTCAAGATGATTATAACCAATTATTGAAAGATCAAGAAGAAAGGATAAGAAAATATGAATATACCATATATCAATTGAAAAAACAACAATTCTATGGCTCCAACAGATCATTGAGTCCCTCATTAAAATCGGTTTCTTCAAGACCAAGATCACCAAGTCCTTCTACAAGTCTTCAATTGCCCAAACAAAGATCACCAAGTCCATCACCAAGTAGCCATTTCCCCAGACAAAGATCTGTTAGTCCAAATATGAATCTACCAAGATCAGTGAGTCCTTCAAATATGAGGTCCCGTAGATCGGCAAGCATGTCTCTCTCAAATAAATCTTCAATGAATTCAATCGATGAAAATTTGCCAATTTTATATAAAACAAAAGAATTACCACCAATGCCCGATTTAATTAATATGGAAAATGATCAATTACCTGGACCTTCAATTGAGTATCATGTGGTGAGTTCATCACCTTCTAGAACAAGTAGCATTAAAACTAGATCTAGGTCTAGAGCATTTAGTACTTAACGAGTTTACGATTTTCTTACATCAATTTACGGTAATTTAATAAATTTTCATTAATCATTATAAACATTTGTATCATAACTTTCTAGTTTGCAGCACTATATGGTATTCTAATTCTGGAGCCAATAACGTAGAACTTTCTTGCGTTACCAATTTGGGTGGAACTGATTGATCACTTTTATAAACCAAAGGAACATTTGGGTTATTAATTGGTTTATTACGACCAAGATCTAATTTTTTCGATAATGACCGATTGCGATTCAAATCGTTTTTATCAGATATTGATCGATTACGAGCCAAATCGGTAGACTTATTATATTTCAAATCATCAACGATGATTTTACTTCGTATTGAATCACTCAATTTTTCCGACATCGAGGAAGATCGACTACGAGGATTGGTTTTCATTTCAGGAACGTAACCCGTCCTAGACTCATCAATAGCGGCATGGATTGGTTGTAAAGTATCAAGATAATCATTTTTTATGGGGTATGGAGTGGAACGACGGGGAGAACTTTCAGAAGAAGAAACCGAACGAGGCAGACGAGCAGATTGTTTAGGGGAAGAAATTGACAGCGGAGGACTCGAAGGATTCGAACGGGGGCTCGAAGGAGTGGAGCGAGGAGGCGAAACAGTGGGAGATGGGGTAATAGGCCTCTCTTGCACAACGTCAATCGATCCTTTACTAACAAATAATAACGAGCCCACCGATTTCATAAAATATAACGAATTCTGATAGCTTCTATCCAAAGACTCTTCATTATCGATGAAACAAAGGTAGTTTATTGAAATATCCAACACAGTTTGCTGTCCATCCAAGTATTTAGCTTTCAATTCCTTATTCAACCCAACCATTGACGATAACCATGGAGACCTTATATTATTGAAAAATCTGAAAAAAAACTGTAATAAGTAATTATTCAATATGAACTTATCAACCAAAGGGTCGATCAACTTGGTTTCAAAAACCTGTAATGTAGTATAATCGGAGTTTCTCTGAATGAAAACATTTCTAAATAACCCATCAATAAAATAGTAATTAATCATTAAGCAACCATGGTTGTAGAATAACCAACTCTTGAACAATTCGCTCGCCAACATCACTTTCCAGTCCATTTCAACCACCCACCCAGTAATCCGGTCACAAACAACATAACATAACCAATAATTTAACAAAAATATACCATTTTCCCCATACTTTGGGGTATTCTTAAGATCCGATATCAGCTTCACACTGAGCAACAATGGGAACCAGAATGTTGCAAACGGAAGAACTCGAAGAATCACTGACGCTATCATACTTGAAGAACCAACGCTTCACACACCAAACTCAAGAATTTCCAATCTTTATATACTTCTAAAGGGCCCCGAGCTGACCATCTCGCTAAAAATACAGCAAAAATAGCCTCTAACAAAACAAAAAAAAAAAAGAATTACTGCATCCGTACCTTAATTTGCTTGAAGCAATTGTTGTTGATAACGGCTTGAAACGGCAAAGTTGGTGCCAGAGTCAGTTAATTGGCTAATTTGGGTTAGCCCGAAGCTGTTCAAGGGCCCAATATCCGGGCATTAACCAAGATTTCCTGTTGTATTACAAATGGAAGAGACTAACTCATCTTTGTCTCAGGATGAGTTGGCATGCCAAAGCTCCTGGTAATTGGTCTTGGACCAGGGCCGAGTCTTCGAAGGTATGACCTCATACAGAAACAAGTTGTTTTCCATTTTTTTCACTATTGTAAGAGCATGTTTGACATGTCAATTTGTATAGAAGTAGATGATGGTACGAGAATGGGACCTAATAGAAGTTTTTCAATGTTCAAAATTATATCACGACAATTAGAATCAGCAGTGTAATCACTATACACAATAGCATACTACAATGTATACAGATACACAATACAATTATACAATTATACAATTATACAGTTATACAATTATACAATTGTACAGTTATAATTGTATTGTGAAGGTCATGGCTCGGGCGAGAGCTTAGGCCCGAGGAAGATGGGGAGGTACGGGTGGGTACTGGATGAAAAACAACGGCGATGAGTTATAGAAGAAGACCTCTTTAAGACCCAGAGGAATGACGCCCATGTACATTGTTGATTACCTTCCGAGATTGGGGACATTGTCCATTAACATGGACGTGGCCGATAGGTCGGCCAAAATATCCAGGGTAAGCTTAATAGGACCAAACGAGTTCATGGTTGAACTTGGTTCAACAAGGTATAAAATTGATTTACCAATATCAATAACCGATAACAATACTAAAATAACTCAACTTATAAGCAAAGATGGTAGCTTGAGTATCAAGATGAACGTGGGGTCGGAGATCAACGAGTCCTTTATGAACCATCTTATTGATTCTGACTTACAGAAATGGTCAGTGAAGGACTTGTTAAGCAAGACTTCGATTAACCCAGAGAGTCAGAAGAATGAGTTTAGGTTTTTATGCCATGGTTGTAATGCCAGTATCATTGATTCGACACAGGCAAATTTTAGGGATATGCCGTCTGAATTGTGGTACGAAATGATGGATTTTTGGCATTGTCATAAACCTCATAATCCATCTTTCATTCATGATAAAAACTATCAGCATTTGGCACCTCAAGCAGGGGAAGTGTACATTGGGACTTCGTATTTGATGACGACTCTTGATCCCAAGTGTGTTTGTGGTGAAATACTCGGTAAAAATAACAAGATATTTAAATGGAATTTGAAATTATCTTATAATGATACTATTGAAACTTATCCTCTGTACCTCTACGTTTACTATAATCTCTTGGATAAGATCAATTCTACTGCTGGACGGAATTTTAAAGTTGTAAATAAATCAGATGATAAATCTTTGAATATCTGGACCGTGGGGGTTGGATTAAAAGTTTCAATTTCAGGGATCAAACTCGAAAATTGCTTGAAAATTTTATACGATGATACTTACGACTCTAATGATTTTGAAGAAATCGTATTGGAAGATGATATATTCCTTCAATTTTTACAAAGACTTGATTACATTAATGATAAACTACCTGATAGAAGTAAAGTGATTGAAATTAAATCGATTAATCGCAAAATAAGTTATCTAGGCTAATTGAGTTTCTAATATATTCTTAACAACTGGTACCACTTGTTTTCTTGAAGCTTTGATATTAGCTTGATTAAAAATTTTCAAATTATTAATCAGTTTCATTTCATTTAATTTATCTTGATGATAAATGTCATTGTTCAATTCTAATTCTTTGGCTAATTCACTTATAGATCCAAACTTAGCATCCTTATAATAATATACAAACTCTCTAGTGTATTCATCGTTCTCCTTCTTGGTATAAGATGTAGTGATTACTATAACGTCCAAGTTTAAATCATTAATTATAGATTCAAGGGTTTTTTCAATTACATCAATCTTGAAATTTTTAGAGATCCAAAAAATTGATTTACCTAATGAACTAAACCCAACATTAACCCTGCTAGACTTATTAATAAAGCTAAATTGTTTATAATCTTTTCTCAAAATATCATAAAAACTAAATCCTTCCAAGTCCTTTTTAGCCTTTTTCAATTGTTTGTAAAAATCATCCAAATCTCTCTTAGTATCAGGCTTATTTAAACAATTCATCTTATTGGGGTCTTCTGCAAGGTTTAACAATCCTTTATACCTTTTATACGATAAAGTATCATTTTCTTCAACTTTTTGAGTCATATTAGAAGTGTCTACCAATAAGGGACCCAACAAAAGCTGAACTAGTTCATGATTTTGGAAAATTTCCCGATTATTGAATTGGTCGAACCAGTAATTGAATACAAGTGACGAACACGATCCATTCAGTTGAATTATTCTAGGATGACTATCCAAAAATACTCCTTCGTCAGCGTGGTGGTCTATAATGCTGATAACTTTCAACCTCTTTTCATTCGAAAGTTTAGAAAGCAGTTCTCCTTGGATATTACAATGGTCAACCAAAACCAATTCAATAACTCGATCATTTTGACTCATCTCTTCCAAATCTTCAAGGAAAAATAAGACGTCTTCGGTTATGCTATGGGATTTGAGCAACAAAACAATATCCCTTCTTAAACTTAAATCCGCCCTTGGAATATTGATCAAGGGAACCAATGTAATACTAGGATCGAATATAAATTGAAAGTAAGAATAACTGATGGCACTTATAACCGAATCCATATCAGCAGATTGGTTCCCAGTAACAAAGCGAATTGGAGATTTAGCACTTTGAGAAGTTAATTGGCTTTTCAAGCCAGCCAAAAAGGCTTTGACAGACGTGGAAGCAGGCATTACCGGTGAAGGTGAGTGGAGTACTTTCTCTTAAAATGAAAAATTTTGATAAGAATTTGCTGGAGAATTCGCTGCGCACATGTCTAAAAATTTCAACAATTTTTTTTGCGGCATAACGTACAAATAAATAAAACTATAACAATATTTGATTATACTATAACAGATTATACTTTCATGGAAAGAGCCTTCAAGAAGGAGGCATGGAAGCAGGTAGAGAAAGAGGAGATTATTTGGCATAATGTAATTTGATATCTAACCATTGTCTTTTCTTAATTTCTTCAGGAGCTATGCTAATATCACCGTAGGTGATTGGTCTAAAGTAGAAGAAGAACCAAATGACACCAATGGAAATGACCAAGACCAAGGCAGTTGCCTTGAGTCTATTAGCACCAGTCAAACGGTTAGAGGTGGTTGAGTTTTTAGAAAACAAGAATTCAACCAAACCACCAGTGAACATGGCAGCAATTAAATGAGCTGGTAAATAATGATGTAAGAATTTTTGCCTATTCATTAAGTAGAAAGGGAAGTAATGAGCAGCCCAACCGGCAAAGAAGAAACCCAAGGTGTTATATAATCTTGATCTTGCTTTATTGCTTAAAATATGGACGTTACGACGACGAGTAACTTGATCAGCTAAGAGTAAACCAAGATAGATTGCTAAGAAACCCACTTCTGTCCAGAAACCAATGACATTACCAATGAAAAAGATTTGTTTTCTTTCATCATTATCATTCCAGAAAGAAACCCCAGATAAAGCCAATGGCCAAGCGTCCGGTTGGGAAGCAAATGGATGTTCTGAAGATAACAAGTTATTATGATAAAACATAAGACCTTGTAATTCCCACCATTTTTGTAAGAAAGGTCTATGTTTAACTACTTTCGGAACGTAGTTATGTCTTGGATCTTCTTCTTCTAAATTAACAATATCATCAAAATACCAAGAATTATCTCTATCTTGAATTTTTTTATTACCACTAACTTCTTGATGACCAAACCCCCATTCTGGTAATAATTCATCATCATGGGTCCACATTGCCACCACGGTGTCAACATGAATGATTTTTAAAGGAGTAGCCTTTGATTTAACCACTTTCCTCTTATTTTTAGTTCCAGAACCGGTTTGTGAAAAACGTAATCTGAATAAAGTTTCATTATATTTTTCTTCAGCATCGTCACCATGAGCAATGGTAAATTCTTCATTGGTAGCTTTCAAAGGAGAAGCAACGTCATGAGTTAATAAATAACCACCGGTACCAATATGTCTAAATCTAACGATATCATTAGTAAAGACAGCAACTCCTTTATCAAATTGCAGATTTTCCTTAGTTGGTACAATTTCCCATTGATTATTGGCATCCTCAGCTTCTTTACTTTCTGGATCGAAAACACAAGTAACTTGTTGAGTATGAGATGAAATTCTACCATCTTCATAACGTAATGGATAAATTGCTTCATGAGAATGTAAAAAGGAGTCAGTTTCTTTATGTCTAATGGTAATGATATCATAATAATTGACAGTTTTAGATAATCTGGCTAAAGGAGATTCAATTAAAGTTTCTTGAAAATCAGAAGACATAAAAGAGTCACCAGGACCAGATTTATTTAAAATTGCAAAATGTAAATAAAACCAGAATAAATAAATACAGAATGGGAAAACAATTAAAGACCATAATCTAGCAAAGAAATGTTTAGCCAATTCAGGAATGGTCAAACCCTTTTTATAATCCAATAAGATCCATAATTCATGTAATACCCCAATACCAATAGTGACATAAGTGAAAACACCAACGTATTTGGTTGAAATAACACAAGATAACGAGACCCCGGTTAAAGTTAACCAAATCCACCACCATTTAGTAAAAGGTTGACGACGATAAGTACTGAATTTAACATACAGATAAATAGTTAATGCAACACTTAAAATCAAGGTTGCATCTAATAAAATCAAACGAGAATCAACCACATGAGCATTATCAAAACAGATTAAAATACTGGATAATAAACAAGCAGGAACCGAGAATTTCAAAGTCTTCATAGTCCAAAATACAATTGGAACAACTAAAGTACCTTGAATCCCCAGTAATGATCTATAAGCAATATAAGGAACACCATGGCTAATATAATTATCCCCAATGTTTTCAAATTTGAAAGACCCATCATAACCAACAATCCAACCCGCAAAGGCAATCAACAATTTAGCAAATGGAGGATGTAAATCGAAAAAATAAGTTCTTTCTAAATAATATGAAGCAAATTTCCCAAAATGAACCTCGTCAAATACAACTTTATCTGGAGTGCCAATCTTATTGAAACGAACATAGATTGCCAATAACGTAACCAAAATCATAGCTACCCAGTATCTATGATTAGGCTCTTCCTCTTCTTCTTCGGCCGTTTCATATGCTTTCGTTTTGTTCAAGTCATCATCGGTATACGTTTCTGGTTGGGGACTGGCCTTCTTACCAGTACCCTTCTCGGTTCTTTTCTTCAAGCTCTGAGACATGGCCACAGTGGATCTCAACTACTTAACTCAATAACCACACAATTGTTAACCAATTGATACAACCAGCAGGAATATAGTGAATTTTTCAAAAGAAAAACGTCAGAATCTAAAGCTTCTTCCAAAAAACGCGGAACCTTGTTTTATTTGGCTGTGACAGTTTTTTTTTTTTTGTTTTGTTAGCTCCAGGCAATTTTTCAGTTTGTTAACACGTAAATGCTTTGCTTTTGGTATCAAGAGGGCCAAACAGAACAGGAAACAATGGCATATCAAAGCTGGTGGAAGAAGCATTTGAAACGCTTGTAGGAAGTAATGCTACGTGGGCAAGTTGGTGTAGAAAGGGGCCGAGAACCAGACGACTTCAGCCGTTGCAAGCCTTGTTTGGCAAACAGACGACAGACAGACAGACAGACAGACAAACCACGTCAAACAAGGCACGAGGCAGGATTTTAAGGGGAAGTCGGTAATAAAGTCGGGCAGAAAGAAAGTCGTTGAAAATCATTAGAATTAGACTATAGACAAGTTACATATGTTTTTTAGAACGTTTTTGGTAGCCCCCTCTACCTCTGATGATTGGAGGAGGAGCTTGGGTAGAGGATTGTAGAGCAGCAGAGGGCTTTTGTTGTTGGAGAAGGTTTTGGGGTACTCCGTTGGTGATGGATGGAGAAGAAACCGTATCTTCGGAAGAATTCGATCTTGCTTGCATATCGAAATCAAAACCATACTCGTTGGTGGAGGGTCTGTTGAATGTACGGTTATTCAATCTTGCCGGTTCTATTCCGTCTTTGGAGGAGGTACGGCTTGCAGTGATGTTTATGGGTTTAGAAGTAGTTAGCTGGATTATTTGAGAATTGCGATCTTCCAAAAGTGATTCGTATTTCAATAATACTCTGGACATCTCTTGTAATTTCTTTTCATAGTTCATGGTGTGTTGGCTGACGTTGTCATTCAAGTCATTTTTCACAGCATTGAGTTTACTTTCGTAGTTTTTCATGCTGATATCGTGCATTTCTTCGAGTTGCTTTATATCCTGGTTCAATCGAGAGTTATCAAGGGTTAATGCTTTTAGGCTAGTTCGTAATTCTATGTTTTCTTGTTCTAATTCATTAACGAAAATGCCCCCCCTATTTTCATCCACTTTGTTTTCATCGTTTATAACTTTGGTGTTTGTCTCTATTTTTTGTAACTGAGTCTCGTAATCTTTGAGTTTTTGCAGCAATTTTTTAATCTCATCTTCTTTAACAAGTAATTTTTCATGAAGTATGGAATGCAAATCATTTTCGAGTTTTTCATTTTCTTTCATCAAGATTCCTAAGTTTTCTCTCAACGATTCATTTTCCTCTTTTAAGCTTATCATCTCATCGGTCAACTTTAATTTATCCTGTCTCATTTTTAGGTTTATCTCATCTTTATCATTTTGTAAGATTTTAAAAGATTCACTCAAAGAATTATAACTAGTAGTTAAGTTCTGTAATTTGACAAAATTATTCCGATTTTCAATCGAATTTTCAAACATTGAAGATTCCCGTAACATTCGATTCATCCGTAATTTCAAGCGAATATAATGAAACTTGTTTAAATGCTTCATATAACTCAGAAACTCTAATTCATTCTTCATCAACAAGAGCTCCCGTTGGTAATAGTCAATTGAAGTGCTAGAACCCGAATTCATCGTTGGTGATTGCATTCCAATCGTATCTTCCAGAATAAAAGAAGTGCCACTACTAAGTAAAGAATCTTTATGGATAGTGGTAGTTTCAACTGAGGTGGTTGGAGACGAAACTGGTTTTTGAAGTTGTAAATGATCATTTAAAAAACTCGATGCATTTTTCAATGGATGCAGAATTGAATTATTATTATTAACTTCGGGATCATGTTCATTATGCACATCCTGATACGATGGATGCGGTGTATATAATCTTTCATGATTATCAAACAAATCCTTAATCGATACATTGCTGTTATTATAATTTTTATAATTTAAAACATCTCGGTTTGCATCATCAGGGGCTCCAACTTCTTTTTCATCCTCGCTTTCTTCAATTATTTCAGAAGGATCTTGTGCAAGCCCCTTGTCAAAATTAACGTCTTTGAATTGGATTCCTAGCCCTTCATTCTTTTTTTGATCCTGAGCTTCGTCAATGATAAGATTCGTTGAAACAATCGATAGTTTCCTATTCAACGACAAGTTAGCCAATTTCTGAGATGTTATATGATCTTTGAATGATGGGCCACTAAATGAAGAGTAGTTTGACCCTTTTAAAGATGTTTTACCACTACCAGACGAGACACTATTTAATTTATTCAATAGCTTATTACCAGTTCCACTATAAACAAACCCAAAACTATCATTGTCCAGGTTTTTAATTGATTTTGCATCTGAGGTGGATGAAGTCGTAGATTTCCCGTCTACGACATCATCGGATATAATAAAGAAAAGGTCGGGATTCAAATTAAGACAACCAAGTGCAATCTCTTCGCAGACAATATTCTCTTCAGTAATCTCTTCAAGTAACCAAGATATTGGATTTTTTAGCTCGCTCCTGAGTGTGTGATTTGGATTAAGGAAATTTGGATGTAATAAAAATCTTTTAAGAAAATTACGAGTCATGGACTTGATTATTGATTCTAGATTAGTTTCATAAGGATCGCCTTCATTTGAAAAACTATTATTAATTTTGATTAGAAAGCTTGGATCAACAATTTTAGGAGGATTTTCAACTAAATAATTCAAAGGTGCTTCATGGAATTTCCTGAAATTCAAGGGGAACAACCCGTAAATCAAAGTTGCTAAATAAGAAGAGTCAAATTCAATCTTTGATTTTGTTTGGAACGATACTTCTTCATCATGGTAAGACGGATCAAAATTAGCAATTTCCCAATTTGTTGAACTTTCTTTTAGGAACTTTTTCAAGCCAGATAATCGATCAGGCAATCTCGAATCCAAGTGTTTCCAAGTGATTATGCGAACATATATGACCAATAAATCCGGTAGATATCCCGAGAGTTTATCACAGACTTGAGGTATTATCATCACTAGAACTGACAATGACACCAAAACAATACTTTCGCTCAAGTCATACAGTATAGAATTCAATAGGTTTCCAAAAAGTGAAGTATTGATAATCTCCTGAACTCTTGATGTTTGATATGAGGTGAATTGTGAAAGAAGAATCAAAACCTTTAATCTAGAAGTCTCTTTGGCTAAATAAGTATCAATCAATTCAAAAAATTTCTTACAGTACTTCAACCCATAGTCTCGCAATAAGAATGCACAATTTTTTTCAATAAACCTAATTCTTTCACACATGGACTGTGACTCTCTTTCATTCGAGTTATAATGTAGCCTTATTAAGTTATAGCACTGATCATTCCCACGAGGTTTTGGTCCAATATAAATTCGAAGAATCTCATTCATCACCATAAAGGCAATTCCTTCTCGTCTTTCCACCAAGTACGGGTCGGGACTGTTCATTGGTTTAGTGGACATGGACAAAATGAATTCTCTTGATTTATTCACAAACTGAAGATCAAACCCAGCACTATCCACAGCAGGCTTTAAATAGATCTTTAACCAAAATAATACCTCATCTTCTATCATTATTGGCAGAACCTGTTTCAAAATTTCAAGAAAAAACAACTCTTTACTGACATCCGTATCTGAAGCAACCTGCTTACTATATATTCTGTATAATTCCTCATTCATATTAGTTGAAGGTCGTACTGTCTGCATAGTATTATGCTTATCATGAAATATCGCTATTATCCGAAATAATTCATTAGCTTCAGGCATGTTCGAATGTTCCTTGACACTTATTGGACTCTCGTTCCATTGATCAAACACTGCTTCAAGTGCCCGTATCAATGACTTGGATGATCCACTCATGTCTTCTCCAATCTCAGCCTACTTAAATCGTTGCAACCGTCCTTGTGAATCACGAAATGGTTGAGAAATGTTCCGACTATCTTCAAGAACTCACTAGATTAGTTAGGCAATCTCAGCAAAACCAGAACTTCTCTTGCGTCCACCTGTAATACAAAGATCTCTTATGAGCACCAGGCTTTCTTATTCACCGATGGTTCTATTCCTTCCTTCTATAATGATAGCTTAATATCAAACTAATATTTCATCTCTGGTTTTTTTCCGCTTTTTTTTTCTGATTTTTTTCGTTTCTTTCGCTGGCACCGCTGGGCCCAAGAGCTCGGCGGAGACGGACCCAGGAGCTCGGTCGATGCGGACCCAGGAGCTCGGTCGATGCGGACCCAAGAGCTCGGTCGATGCCGGCGGCCCTTGGGTCAATTTTTCAATTAGGTGTCTCGACATCGGCCCATTGGACCCACAGACAGACCCATTTACATTTCGTAACGGAGATTCGAAACCTCAAGAAAGCCATTCAGCTTTGAATTTCAGGTCTGCTAACGGTACTACTAGAGGGTAGGTATGCCCATAGCATCAGTGTTTATGTTTCGTGAAGGGCACCTCTGAGAAAGACTTCCTTCTTCGTATTAGCGCATATCTTTTTTCAAGTTTGAACTACTTGGTTTTCCACTTGAACAACTCGGTACTAGCCATGGTTCAGCAGGAGTCATTACTTGAGGTCATTGGGAAAGTGGATAAGTTCCCCTATGTGCCAGACTCGAATTATTACAGTTTGATAGCCCACGATGAGATCACGCAAATAGGATACATCACCAAATCAATTGCCCACCATTTTGCAGAGGAACTGGCACTCAAAGTAGATCACGAAGCACGTACGGTCACAATTGATCCAGGTCTCGATACGTTGGAGAAAAGAGAGTCGGTGTTTGCCGATATGGCGAACCGGTTCAGAAAAATCCCAGAGTTTGATATTGCAGTCAATAAAGGCTGGAGAAACGAACTATACACCATATATAATCCAAGCCAGGTACCATACTTGAAGGTCGAAAGAGCATTTTCCATCCTCATGGGTGTGATCACCTATGGAATCCACTTGAATGGATACGTACCTGCTGAAAAGTCCAATAATGGTAAACTAAAGCTTTGGGTCCAGAGAAGATCAGCTACAAAACAAACCTACCCAGGAATGCTCGACAATACTGTTGCGGGTGGACTAGGATATCCCCACGGGTTATGGGAAACCGTGGTTAAGGAATGCTACGAGGAAGGAGGTCTTCCACCAGCATTTGTAGAGCCCAGGGCTAAACCAACTGGGGTTCTTCTGTATATCTACCAGCAGCAGGGTGAAGGCTCAATTGCACAGCCAGAAGTCGAGTACATTTACGACTTGCCCTTTGACGACGAAACATCAGTGGTGCCCAAACCAGTGGACGGAGAGGCTGAATCCTTTGTTCTTATGGACGTGCAAGAGATCTTACTGAAGATAATGCAAGGTGAATTCAAACCAAATTGCTCTTTAGTAGTGGTTGACTTTCTCATCAGAAATGGACATATTACCCCAGAGTCTGAACCGAATTACGCAGAAATCGTTAGCAGAACCCATAGAAGAATGCCGTTTCCTACAAGATGATCTGTTACTAGAGTAAAGTATATAGACCCATTAATATCACGGGCCTTGATATAGTGAGTAGTAAGTAGAAAAAGCTAATCATAAAAAAAAAATCCGTTCTCAAAAGGAATAAAGCGTACTCAATCAAGGAGGAACACCCTGAAATAAAGTCAAGTTCAGCTTAACGCCTTTTCGTCATGTCAGATATTGAAACGGATCTAGTGGATTTGGCTCCTGGTGATCAGTTAGTTCAATTGCTCAACCATCTTCAGGAAAATCAAGCTAAATCAGATGCTAGATCAGCTCTCCAACTTCGAGATACCCTAACAGCTGAAGAATTCTTCCAGAAAGTAGATAACCTACAGGATTACTATAACGAAGTCACATGGTTGCTTCAGAAAACCCAGCTAGATAATAATCTTTACGTTTGGATCTTTTCTCTTGAATCATTGGTCAAACATTTGATCAAGTACAAGGTTTTTTATGACCGCCAATTGATCAACAACTTTCAGTATGATATCAATGGAAATTCAATTGTTGAGGCAGCGGGTACGAAGCTAGGGAAACTCTGTGGTGATTTGGGGGAATTCACCCATACTTTTTGCTCATCGAATATGAGCTTTGCTAAGATTTTTGAAATTGGTAAGGCTTCAAACTTTGTCTTCAATAAATTTGCTAGTGTGGTGGTCAAATCGCTAGAGGTTCTTATAATTGATAAATCAGAAGATGCTCAATATATTGATAACGGGTCCTTCACAATTGGGTGCCTTTCAAACTTGATTTATAAATTATATGACTATATTTATGATACTGATTCTACAAAACGCAACAAACTACTTTATAAAGCCTTTCCTATACTAACTGAACTCGTAAAAGTTTCTTATATTGCAGGCGAAGTTCAGCTTATTGAAAAATTTCTTGATGATGAAACTTATAATCCTCCTGTGATTGATTACCGGTTTCCGTTCGAAGTAATCAAAAACTCAACTGTGGATTTGTCAACTTTGATTGATTTTTATAAATTTACGGCATTTAACTTGGTGACCCTTTCTTTACAAGGCCCTGTCATCAAAAAGACTCAGCTAGATAGAGCTAAATTTTATTTTAAGATCCTATTCAGTTTCCCAAATTTAAAAACTTCCCTCTATAGACAATCCGAAGTTACCAATAAATTGGAAGTAGAGAGCCAACTTGAAGAAGATCGCTTGATATCTCTTAACGAACGTCAGGAAATTTCTCTTATGTATATTCTTTTCTATTTATTGAACCTAGAGAATTTAAATGATTTAACCAATCCTGATACTCACTTTAACAACCAGGTTCAGTTTTTGATTGTGTCATTATCATCAAGTATCTCGTGGGATTTAGATAATTCTGCTTCCCATTCGGGCTCCCATTCAAGTAGTTTGGCTTCATTACACCAGCCTTTGTCCACAAAGCCTCAAGTCCCTTCAAGAAGAAAACAATATAATAGAATAAAGTTCAAATCATTGAGCTCTATAATTGTTTATGGTTCCTATAAAGAAAACCTTACTCTCGTGGTGAATTTCCTCAAACACTTCAAGCCAAATAGATTAGATGTTCCTGTCATAGTTTCAAACCATGCTTTGCGCCCAGAAGACGGTGCCAATGAAAATGAGTTTCAACATTCAATATCTAACATAGATCCTCAAAGGTATCCCGGCAAAATTTTCTATGTGGAAACAATTGATAAAATTGTACAGATATTGAAAGTTTTGACGGTCAAACATTTAGTGGATACCGGTGGCTTCAACTACATACATAAAAATACTTTGGACCAAATATTTACTTGTAAGAACTCAATTCTTGAGGCTTGCAAAGTTAAGGATATATTATCTGTCACACCTGACAATAGTAATCAAGATATACTTTATTTTGATACTAGCCCTCGGGTTACAAGTTTAGATGACGAAAAGTTTGTTGAGAAACAGCTAGATTCAATTGCATTAACAAAAGAGTTACAAGTTGTTGCATCTAGACTCAATTCTTTAGGGAACGCTTTCTAACCGTATTCAGGGTTATAATATATTCGTATAATCATGAAAACTGTGATTTGTATTTACATAAATATATATATAATGCATTCTCAATTATACTAGCCTATTAAATCGGAAATTCTATTAGCTTTAGGCCTTTTTGGTGACAGTAAATCACCATCTTCAAGGATATGCTTCTCACCCGATTTCTCTGGAGAAATTGGGATTGGGGTATCCAATTTGTCAGTTGTTTCAACTTGCTTAGCTGGTGAGCCATCATTGCTGTTTTCGGGCTCCGGAAGCTTAGGAACACCTAAAGCTGGCTCTTGGTTATGTCCATTAATTGTGTTACCTTCATCATTTTTCGCATCATTAATCGTACTAGGTATTTCTGAGCCATTCGGTTTCACTTCTTCTAATATCTTGTTCAGTTGATTGGCTTCCTTAGCAAACTGATTATAAATCTCAGGATTTTCTTTTAATATATTCTCTATATCTTTTTTAAAAGTATTAAGGATGTCATTTGCAAAAGGAAATATATCTCTTTTGGCCAATTTTTTTATCTTCCCATTAGGTGATTCAGTTTCAGGAGCTTGAGATGGATTTTTGTCGATCTTATGATCGAAATATAAGTATATCCGAACGTAAATCGCAACAATGGTATCGTCTATTAATGAGGTCGGTCCAAAGCCATTATTGAATTTTTTCATGTCATTTATAGCGTGAAGGAAGCAGAGGTGGATCTTTAATGCGTCAGGAATTCCTCCGTTTTTCATCGACTCAACAAATGATTTAGAATTCAAAATAAATGACTGGTAAGAAAAGGATTGAAGAAAGTTTTCTGTGAAGGATTCTTTAACTTGAAGCAGCGTTCTTATAATTTTGCAGATTGTGGAACATAATGTTTCCCATGCATTATATAATGAGACCATGGTTGAGTTAGAACGACGCAATTTAGGAAGCATTTGTATAAGACTGATCAAATTCAACTCTTTACTCAATAATATAATGTAGAATAGGGAATATTGGTAAGTATAGAAGAAGTGGATCCCGGGCCTTTCGTTCTCTGGTTTCCATATCAGAACCAAAGTTTTGCTAGTAGGCTTGACTGAAACAATGGAAGACATTTCTTCTTTAGCATTTTCAACATCATCAAATTCCTCAAACAAGATTTTGGCTAATCTATAACGAGGTTTATGTTGCCACTTTTTTTTATCGTAGGATATGATCTTTTTTAATGACGCTATCATCAACTTGAAGAATTCTTTTTTATCAAGCTTTGCCTTTTCTTCTTCTGTCAAGGGAACATCTATCACACTATCTTTTGCCATATAGGCGAGTGCGGTTGGGATGTCCATCTTATCTGCCTTGACATATTTGTAAATTAACGAACAACTTCTATAATGTGGCTCAATAATCGGATCAGGTGCATTAGTATGGTTTTTAGCTAATTCTGCTGATCTTTGAATTGACTCCATAACAAGCTGATGAGGCTTATCTAATTTTCTTTGAACCTTTGACAAGTAATAGTAGTTAGTCCATTCAAATGGCTTAGCTCTAATTGCAATATGAAGAGACTGCTGTATAACTTTCAAAACAAGATTCATTTTAACTGGACTTTCGGGAGATACATTAATGAATAAGGCACCAAACTCTCCTTTTACGAAACGTGGGTTTGCTTGAACTTTGAATGCGTGCATGGCCATCGGCTCCATAACAGCACTGTAAGCTTCTTTAGCAAAAGAGGACATAAGCAAGCCAATGACTGGTTTAATCGTCGCACTGGCACCTGGATTCGTCGCACCTATACTAGAAGCTTGGTTTATAGCCATCAAGTAACAAATGAGAGACTTTCTTTGAAGGTTTGCAGTTGTGATTTTACGATCTGCTATAGTCAACTTATCTGATGTCCAAATTAAATCATCTTCAACGAGAAACCCATAAGCTTGCCCTAGGAGGAACCAACTTTCAACTCTATTTGAACAATATATTAAGTCATTCTTTAACAACAGAATTATATGTTCAAGTTCAACAGCTCTGCTTTGCATCGACTTTTTACGGATCTTATAAGAATTGAATATTAGGAGTGCTTGTAGGTAGTATAACCCGTCATGTACCACACTTAGATTATTTTTCGGAGGGTCGAAATCTAACTTTACTAAACCATAAAATGCCTCTTTGAAAAACTTTGGAGTAATAGAAGTGGACTGTAAAAAATATTTGAAGGTTTCATTATTTAAGGTCAAAAAGTCATCCGAATCGAAATCAGGATCTCCAACAACCTCATATAATCCATCGATTAATAGCTTCATATCAGCTTTTGGTGCATATAATAGTGGATTCTTCTTGAAACACAATGGTAAGATAAATCTGACCAAGTCGGCAGTAGAATTTGAATCAAGTTGACCAGTTTGGTTTGTTTTGTGATCAAAAGGAGCAAATGATCCGATATTCACACTATAGTGAAAACGGCATGAAATAAGCTGTATTAATTCCTTTTCTGTAGAGCACTTGAGTCCCAATAAAATCTCTTGCGATAGTCTCAAGAATAATCCATCGGCACCATCGCAAAGGTTTATCAGAGCAAGCATATAATGGAATGATGAAAGTAAATTGTGAATTATCTCCTCGATATTTTTGGTTGTAGACTGGTTATTGCCTTGTGTCTTCATGATGTATTCTCTAAAATATATCGAGAACACACAAATTGTTTGAATATGAATGTCAAAAAGCTTATTGTAAGCTTTGCTAGATTTGCTCTTGACTGAGAGTTTACTTGATGTGATTCGAGATGCATCCTCATGAATAAAATAGAGGGATAGCATCTCAAAAAACTTCAAAAGATTTTTCAAAGTCTTATGCAAGCCAATGATATCTAAGTTAGGAAGATGCCATGAATTATCGGCCAAACGGGTCAAATAAGAATTTAAGTAGTCACCATAAGAGCCTAAGACCTTGAGTAGAATGGGATATCTCGATCCTTTATTTTCCAAGTATGTCTCGCTACTCAAATAAGTTAAAAGAAACTCTAAATTGTTTTCGAATCCATATTGGAATTTGGGGAATTGTTTCTTTTCATCATAATACAGGAATAGAATATTCCAAAGATTAAGTTTCATATCAATAGGATATTTATCTAAGAAGGCTTTGACAGAATTTAAAGAGTCCAGTTCAATTTCGGAACCTTCAATCATTGTCAAAATTTTATCTTGATTATTTCCATTCAATTTTATCTCATTTTTTGAGGATTCATTTGACCTCGAGATCAAGATACTTTCTAATATTTGAATGGCTTCATCATCGGTGTCGTTTGTATAAAGAATTTTGGAGAACATAGATAAAACATAAGCAGTTATTGACTGGTAATTAATCAATTCTATTGATACTTCACAAATATTTTCGTAGTTTGGTAATGGTATCCTAATATCCATCATTTCATATTGGTTAAGAAGAGTCAGCAATTCTTGTAGTTGTATAGCAATGTATCGATTTTCTTCCCAGGCAGTATTTCGTGCTTTTTCCTTGAATATCAAAGCCCATTTATATCTAATATAATAGGATAAGCCATCAATTTTGCATAGTTCATCTAGTGGTAAGAGTGAGAAAATCTGACTTTCAATTAACTCATTCCATTTATTTATCTTATCATTAAATTTAATCATTTCTGTGGTTAAGCTACTTATATTTGCTTTTGTTGACTTGGATTGTGGTTTTTTGCCTTGAGAAGCAATCAAATTATTAACTTGATCAATAATGCCAACATAAGTATCCACTAAAACCTCGAAAATTCCAATTATGAAAGCAAAACATTCTAATGCATTGTTGGGGTTGGGAGTGTTAATTTTCCAATAATTCATTAAAAAGTTTTCTGATTGGATAAGCCATTCTTTTACTTTTTCATATAATTTTTTAGGCCAAATAGTATCACTGATAAGACAAACCCTCTTAGTCACATCCGAATACGAATCGTATAAATGACACCCAAAAAGATGTTCTAAGATAATCATCTTGCAAGTTTCAAGATGGCAAGAAGAATCGGATATGGATTTCAATAAATTCAGAATTATGTCTTGGTTTTCATAGTTTGAAAGTTCAGGTATTGTTTCATCAGATTTGGAAGTATCTTTCTTAGACCCAAAATTACTTAAAACTTCCAATAGTTTAACCTTTTCATCTTCACTTACAGAAGGTGATTCTGAACTTTCAGTGACAAATAGCCCTGAAGTAAACACTCGAGGATTCCAATTATTTATAATCTTAAGAAAATCTTTTATGTAGGGACTGACATTTGCAAAGCTTTCTTGAGCAATTTTTCTAACTTCCTCCAGCTCGTCATCAAGACGGTCATTATTCAAATAAATTTCAGTGATATCACCGACTTTCAAATGTTCTTCTTTGTCATCCAAAAGATTCAAATATTCATTCAATTCTTTTAAAAAAGTGTTTGTATTGAAAAAACTATCTTTTGTTAGTTCAATAATTTGTATTTCATCAGTTATGGAGTCATTTCTAGCCAATCTTTTAGAGGATCTTTGAACTTGAGGTTTATTTGGATTTTTGCGATCTTCATCAGCGTCACCTATAATTTCAACTTTATTTTCGGGTTCCTCAATAGGGTCTTCCTTCTTAAGTTCATTATTTTCTTCTTGAGCATCGAAAAATTCATCATTTTCATCCAAACTTTTGATTTCAGGAATTTTGAAGGTGATTTTTTCAATAGACGATTCTGTAAGGTAGTAAGGATCCAAATCCTTTATTTTAGCTTTGGAAAAATCATGTAGTTTTTCTTTATCTTGATTTTTCTTCAAAAAATCATTGATATCATCGATGATAGATCCCCAGTTTAAAGCTCCCCGTATTGGAATCTCAACCACGTTATTTTTCTTGATGTTTTCAATTTGCTCCAAGAATTCATCCTTAATTGGTTTTAAAAAGAAAAGTCTTTTGTTGACAAACTTCAATTCTTTATCTAGATAACTTTTATCAAGGGGAGTTGATGAATCGTTTAACCTTGATAACAAATGATGATACTTCTTCAAAGCTTTCGAATTGATCGGTAGTAATCCCAAAATATCATCACTTTCGCTTTTCCCACTCAAGGTATATTCCAAAGTAAAACGAATTAGCTTCTTTATATCAAGGTAGATGAAGATATCATATATTGTATTAAGTAGTTTCTCATCAGCGTCTTGGTAAATGAGACATATTATGAAATCATCAATCATGACGTAAAAAAGTTGTTTGAAGAAGTCTTTGAGAGTGACTTCCTCCATATCAGAGACCTCCTCGTCATTACTCTTTCTAGCTATTTCAGATTTTTTATTTTTTTCATCTAGATATATTTCGTTAATGAAATCTTGACCCGATTTCAAGATCTCGTAGTACAAGAAGCCTCTATTTCTGAATACCAAATAACGAAGTGTCTTTACGTTTGGAGATAAGAAACTTAGCTCGTCTGCTATATTATTGGACCCCCCATTTTGAATGCCTTTGATGAAATCTCGTTCTTCAAAGTAGTGGTTTGAGATAACCTCGAGCTTGAAAAGTTCTTTATAGGTAAAATATGCCGATTTCAAGGATCCTGAATCTTGAAGTTTCAATGCCTCTTCAAAAGATTTGAAGGCTTGTTCTATAGCAAGTTCTCGAGTATATTCTTCTTCGAGATCTTTCTTGGAGAAAGAGGAATCTTCATTGAGATTCAATGGTGCAAATGATGACATATCCAGCGAGTGATCAGTGGGTCGTCGGAACTAGTCTCATACGCCAGTAGCAAGTAATCGTACCGATGATTCAACAAAGTATACTAGTTATACTTGATTTTGATATCAAGAAACTTTGAAGCGCTAGTTTTTTGTTTTCTGTAGATTTTGCTGTGTTATTTTTTTTTTTTTCCTTCTACGCAAAACACAATACTTTGATAATGTAATTAATATGTTGCAAAAGACATGAAAATTATATTAAAAAGTCTATGTAGAAATATATAAAACAGTATAAGCCAATGAAGAAACCAGTTCTTCTATTAAAAAACAAAAAAATTGTGAAAATAACCGGAAATATGCCGTGGTTGAAAAAGCAAAAAAGTAACATGAAGCGAATTGAAGGATTTGAAATGTTTAAAGTAGCAGTCGAATCACTTACTCAAGCATGCAGATGAGCAAGAATCAAACATGGTTTGGACTTGTTTCCTCCTTTTCTGCTTGGTCGTAAGTAGTATTTTCGTCACTGTCTACCTTAACCAGATCCAATTCCTTGAAGTTTTTAGCTTCTTTCCTTTCAGCCTTCTCCTTCTTGATAACTTGTCTTCCTCCAGCAAGATACCAAACTATTTGACAAAGGAAGATGCCCATTTCTAGAAATAGAACAATTGCATACAAGACCATACTCATGATATCCATAGTTCCAACAATGATACTAATCATTGAAAGTAAGGCCCCAGCAGAGTCCATTGATAAAAAGAAAAAGTTGATTCCATAGACACGGCCTCTTCTTTTCCATATTTCAAAATACGGGGGTAATAACCCAATGGCCAATAACACCGACGCAACAATCCCAACTACCAACATTGGCCAATGTGTCCCGTGACGATATACCGGACGGAGCCAAAAGATAAACCCAAACTCCAAGCCCAAGGCCACCACCAAGAAGGACCCCACGTATGCAACCAATCTCCATTTGGGAAGCCTGACTGGTGGATAATACAACGTTTGACTCCAGGAAATCGTACAGAATAAGGTAAATAGTTGTGGTTGTATTCTCAAGGGTATGGATCCATCGGTACCAACAAAGTATATCGAAAATGGAATCCCACTCAATGCCCATAAAAACATCATCGAAGGTGGGAGTCCTTCACAGTCTTTGCGTTTATAATTATGAACAATCTGGGGTATCAATTGAATACACCAAAATATGGTACCCATAGTACCGAGCACATTTTCAGCAACTCCGTTATACATCGTCCTTAGATCTGGATGAACTTGAGCTGATCATTAATTATAAAACAGGTGTCTACCGGGGTTTATATAGAAAAAAGTCACTATAAAATTTTCATTCTGATAACTCTGGTGGATGAGTAAAGAATGAAAGATGCGCTGCGCTAACAGAACAAAAAAAAAAAAAAAAATGCGCAAACCTTGTCTATTTCCATCTTGAAAAATTGCGCTATTCACCGATGATTACAAGCTCAGCTTGAGCCAGATACAAATTGGCAGGTCATGAAGCAACTACATGGTGTTGAGGTGGTCCAGTGGGTGGTGTGAGTGGGTTGGACGTTGGTTGGACCGCTGTGCGGCTGAAAAAGGAAACTGTTTGCGCAGGCAAAAATTCCGTCAAAGTCGTATATTATTACTTAAATAGTGTCAGTGGCCCACGGAATCAGCAGTTACTACGTTGGTTAGTCTGAATCGCTGTACTCAAACCCTAGTTCGTTCTCTTCTTGTGCTATTTTGGCCAACTCTTCAGGGTCGAGTTGTTCTTGTTCGTCTAATTCTTCTTCATCAGGCAGTTGTTCGCCAGGAAATTCATTGGGCAATTCACCGGATGATTCATGGGACAGGGGTTGAGCCAGTGGCTGCGGTAACGGTTCTGGCAACGGTTCATTTGGCAGATTTGTCACTTCATCAGGCGATTGATCTTGCGTATCTGGTGCATTCGGTAAAGGTGCATCGTGCAACCATGCGTCAGCTTTGGGTTTAGACTGTTCGTCTGTAACCTCTGTCTGGTGCTCTTCTGGTTTCTCTTCTGGGATTCCTTTCGGCTCTTCTGTAGCTGAAATGGGCGATTTACCATCCTTCAGACTGATTTCTTCGTTCGAAGCTTCGTCAAGGATTTCAGGTGTCTCCTCATCTTCTCTGGGATCATAGACTAGTTCGCCATTTTCGTCCTCTTTGAAGTGGGTATCTGGTATAGTCTGTAGAAAGCTCAAATCTTCTGTGTCTTCGTTTGTACCTTTTGAACGGTGGTTGCTGTCCACGACAAATCCACCTTCTCCATCTTCCTCAGGAGTCCTACCTTCTTCAGGAATAAAACCACCTTCTTCAGGAATAAAACCACCTTCTTCAGGAATAAAACCACCTTCTTCAGGAATGAAACCACCTTCTTCAGGAATGAAACCACCTTCTTCAGAAATCTCACCTCCTTCCTCAGGGATCTCATCCTCCATATCTATATGTGGAACTGGCTCTTTCGCCGCTGCTTCTTGATCTAAGAAAAATCCTCCTTGCTCAAAGTCGTCGTCGCTGGACTCATCATGAACACTGAACTCTTCATCGTCCGTAGTTTCTTTATCGGAATCAATATCGACGTTCTTATTTTCACTATTGGTTTCTTCAGCATCAACCTTACCATGCTGTCTATTTAATCTTTCAGTGATTCTCAATTTGGTTAAAAAGTATTTCCAATTTCTTAATGAATTCAATTCCACATCTTCTCTTTGTCTTGTCTCCTCTTCCTCAACAAGACAATCTAAAACTAAATACATTGCTTCTTCAAACTGCTTATCTATCAAGATTCCCCCTTCCCTTGCAGTAGGCATTCTATTTCCTTTACGATTTTTACCTCCTCCTTTCGATCCAAAATCGAATGCAATGATAGCTTTAGCGTAGTCAATTTCAAGAATGTATTTCGCAGCTCTTTCTGCCATACGCATGGTATATTTCCCTGTAGTCTCGATTATTGCTCCGTTTTCTGGAATCATGGTTGGGGTATATATATCAATATTCTTATAAGCATTTTTAGGTATTTGACCATCAACAATGGGTGGTGGAATATACAATTGAGTTTGAAATTCGGCATAAAGTCTCACAATGTCTTCCTCATCATCATCGTCTCCAAGTTGTATGCTTCCCGCTTTCCTTCGTGTCTTGAACGGTTGGACTCCAATTTTTAAGACCCGTCCTCTCATATACCAAGCCTTTGCTGACCTTAGAAGATAAACATGAGATCTCTTGTATACCGGTATTACTTCACCCTTTTTACTGCCTCTTCCCTTATTACGGAAAGTTCCACACTTACTGGTATCATCCTTGGGATAGATTATCTCATTTTGTCGGAGTTGTGATTCAATAGCATATATTGGATGGTTTTTGAAATCGTTCAAGCTATTTGGCATCCCTTCCGATAAATCTCGATTGTAAAATTCCTTGGACTCGAACACATCAATTTTATTGATGTTATCACGACGCAAGGATGAGTTAGAATATCTTAATAATTGTGTATACCAAAATTGATCTTCATCTGATCTGAAACCTATCCTTTTTTTAACTGTCCTGGCATTGAAGTATTGCGAATACCTTCTAGTAACGTCTTTAATGCCTCCGAGTTTATCATACGCTAGAACGTAAGTGGCTTGATTCGTTGGATCGGTATAAGGAGGTTCAAAACTCGATTTTCTTCTCATTGGAGGTTGTTCGATGATACCTTTTACCACAGGATCTATACTTACCCACTTGCTGTTATATTTGTTCCAAACCTCACACCAAAATACAGGGTAATCAGAATCCGGGAATGTATACTTTTGATTTTTCTGATTGTTTGTCTTTGAAGGTGAATCGTGTGCCACATTTGACCTCATTTTTAAAAGCATGTTTGCTTTGGAGTTATTTGTATTAGCTTTGCGTAGTCTTTCGAGTAAGCTGTCTTTTGAACTAGGAGGTGATTCCTTTTTTGGTTCTGGTGGTGGTGTCGACGATTCTATCGCAGGAAAAGAAGCTACCAGAGTATAATCAGGAGGCTGTAAAGAGAAAACCAAGCGACAATTCAATCCTATAGATCGTAATAAAGCAACAAAGCCTTGCGCCCCAAGATCTCTAGAACCAGTGAAATTACAGACTAACCTTTTGAATCGGTTGAAAGTTATATTATTATCAACATTGTCTTGTTTGATTGAAAGCTCATTCCAGTTTTTCCTAATTAACCCTTTTGATTTAACTCGAAATCTCTTAGAGTACATCTTTAAGATCATTTGGAGACCATCCAAAAACCGTCTTGATTTGACATTATCTAGAACATCAGCGTTATCTTGATCGAGTCTACTCATAATCTGGGGCGATACTAATCTTCTCAAGCTTACAAGTAATTGATAATCATTACACCACCTGTTTCGAATTACCCCATGACAAACCATTAAAACCAAGTATATCTTATGCATTAGTACTCTCTTGTCTCTTTCTTCTTTTGCAATTGGAGTGAACTTCTTTCTTTTAGGTCGTGACTTTTCTTCTTCCGTTTCTGGCTTCAAAGTAACAGTAATTGAATCTTGTGCACTTTCCGTAGGCTCTTCTTCAAAATTGAAATTATAAACTGGTTCGTTATCGTCTTCTTCTTCTGTTCCACCAGCTTCATTATCTATATCTCTAGATTGTTGCTGTTGAGCACTGTTCTCATCTTCCACATCAACATCTTCAAACTCATCTGAGTCCCAACTATCTGAAGCTTCTTGACTTGGTTCTTTATCGGAAATAACGATCACATCAGATTCTGGAGCCTTATTTCTCGATAGTTGCAGCTCTTCTGGTTCTAAAGCTGCAACAGCTCTCTTTCTTCGCTTTTTCGGTCTTCCATCTGTCCCATTTTCCTCGTGACGGTGCTGACGGAGTAATTCTTTATAGAAAGGATCCGACATTGACCTAGTAAACGCGTTGTCTCTATATCAAGCAAATGATGGATTTTTGCATTTGATATCTTGCTTAATAAATGCGCGATAGAACGAACAGAAAAAAAAATCAATATCATCGAGGAATTTTCAGAAAGCAGACCTTTTTAAGCCAATTCCATTCATGAAGTATTGAAATTCTTGTCTGTATCAGCCCAAAGCATGCTCATATAATGAAAACGTTCCTATCTAGCTCACTACGACAGCAGGGCTGGAAATACGGGTTCAAGGCTCGGCCGATATCCATCACTCAAATCAGGAAAAACCATGATGGGACCGATCTTAGCCAAATAAACTTAATGGAACGTACGAAGGATAGAATGCATCGAATATTGAAGTACGATATCACAAGACCGTATAAACGGTATGAGAGTACTCGGATCACATCCAAACCCACGGTAAGACACTTGTTTGTCAAACTCCAGATGGAAGAAGCTATTCATGAAAGAGTTGAAATATCGAATTCAGGACTCAAATCAAGGTTACACCCGGTGGACTGTTTAGAACCTTTGGTTTTCCATATTATGTTGCTACTTGAACGATTTAAGAAACCAAGTCATATTAATAAGTCAGAATTGGATTCTCAGCGAGTAAATGTGCAAGACTCGATTGATGTAGATCAATTCATTAGTGACGATCTAAAGATGAGGTTTGAAAGAGAAACAAATTCCATTTTGAAAGTCAGTATACAATCCATATTGGATTCAATTCATGCTTCTGGTAAGCAAATCGATGAAATCACGATGGAAGTATTCAGTATGGCATTATCTAGTTTTATCAAACTCTCAAAGATATTTTACCTCCAACAATTAACCAAAAGACAAAGGAACACCGTGCTTAATTCACAAATGCCTATTGATCTCAAATACTCAGTTGAGGATGATTTGCTCAGTTGGATGAAGTCGATTGGGGTTAATAACGTTTCAGCAAGTTGTCAAGCATTAACAAACCGGGCAGATATACCAGCATTCGTAACGTCCAATATCATCTTGAGAACCCCCTTATCGGCAAATGAATTGTATTCACAGCTTGATATTTGGTCAAATTTCATTTCGTCTATTCTCACATATTACTCGAAACAAGAAAATCATTTAAGAGATTGTTTGAATAATTTGATATTTTATTGTATTCATCATGATATTAGGAAAATGCCCGAAGTTTTACTTGAATTGCTGAATTTCGTTGATTCAAAAAAGTCCGCTTCGATAAGCATGAGCTTCTTATCACAAAAGATGGTCAATGATCTTATTTGGGAAATGTATTATAATTACTACAGATCAGCTAGAGCAGAGAAAGGACTGTTTGTCAGCAAAATAATTCAATCACAGGAAATATTGGTTAACCTATTGTCTCGAGTGGGAGATCAAAATGATAAGGTACTTTCCAAATTGAATTTAAAGGGATATATGGGCATTGTACTTGCAATTGAAAATGTTTCACTGGAAAAGGCAACCAAGCTTTTCCAAATGGCTGAGGAGAGATTTTTAGTTCCACAAACCATTAATCAAAACACTAATAAAGAACTTACGTGTTATAATTTCGTGAAAATAGCATTACTGAAATCAACCGATGATTTAATGTTTGCATTTAATATGGCTGTTCAAAGACATCCTAATTCTTCAAGCCTTTGGTTGGCTCTTATTCAAAAATTGATTGAATTTGATTTACTTACTGAAGAACGGTGTCAAAAAATCTTGAAACAGTTAGTTGATAAGAAAAATGATATTTTAATCACGAAAGATATGCTTTTACTCTTGTTGAGTTCCATATCTACTTCATCATCGCTATTTCGAATGATAGAAACAATATCAGAAGGGAGCACTAACCCAAAAGACTCTATCCTTTTCAGTGCACATTCCAAGATTCTTTTAGAAAAATATGTCACTCTCCTTTACAAATTACCAAAAAACACCCTTATTACTTTCCCATCTTTTTGGAGCACTGCTGACTCTACCATGGGATCTTCCCGCATCAAAAGCCTTGCAGCTGCAAGATATTTATACGATACATATTTCCCAATAAAGGGACCAAAAATAATCGGGATAATGTTAAATGGAGAAGCCAAACAAGATCCCTCGCAAGTGTATGATCTATACCAAAGAGATTTGTTTGAGAAAAACAACTTTCTTCCTGACGAGTCATGTATATCAGCATTATTAACTGCATCTTCTGCATCAACAAACCATCGACCCATTTTATGGGGTCAATTATACGCACCACAAGTTGCAATTCACGAATTTAAGAAACACGTTGTTTCTGACACCATCGACTTTACCGACTTGGACTCAGCCCATATATACCCGGGTAATCAGTTATGGCAGAAGTACATTGGTTTACTAAGTAAATTCGATTATATTTACGAATTAAGTGAATTGATCCAATGGTGGACTAAGATAAAGTTCACCCCGAACAAGAAAACGTTGTTTTCGCTTCTCCATTCGTTTCCTATAGAGTTTGCCGAACGATACATCATTCACTTCGAGAAAATTAAGAAGGACAGTGTATCCGAGATTACCCTTCCGTCATCAACCAACGGAGAACCGACCAAGCAACCTGAAACGTCTGGTGACTGGCCCTGGCCCACTTTGGCAGAATTCAGACACCATAGAAACAACAAACTGTAAATAGATTTCCATAGACCTTTAATACATAAGTTATTCTTTTTTGCAACAATTAAATAACCGAATATTCACATTTATAGTTCTGGTGTATGGGTGTTTTTTTGCTTCATTCGGAACCAACAGCCAATCACGTTTGAGAAATTCTCAACACCGAAACCGAGAACCCCAGGATTTCCTTCTGAAAAGATCAACTTTTCGTGAATTTACATATAAAAAAAACCAGATCTCTTTTCTGATTTTCATTTGTATTTATCTAGATCATCGATTACAATGTTGAGAGTTCCATCAGTTGCTAGACAATTTCAAGTTAGATCATTATCATCAACACCAAGTCTTTTAAAGGCTGCACACAGAATTGAAACCGATGCTTTCGGTGAAATCGAAGTGGATAATGCTAAATACTATGGTGCCCAAACTGCTAGATCCAAGTCTAATTTTAAAATTGGAGGACCAGCTGCTAGAATGCCAATTCCAATTGTTAGAGCATTTGGTATTTTGAAAAAATCTGCTGCAATTGTTAATGAAGGATATGGTTTAGATCCAAAGATTTCTAAAGCCATTCAACAAGCTGCTACTGAAGTTGCTGAAGGTAAATTGGACGACCATTTCCCATTGGTTGTTTTCCAAACCGGTTCTGGTACCCAATCTAATATGAATGCCAATGAAGTTATTTCAAATCGTGCCATTGAAATCTTAGGAGGAGAATTAGGATCTAAGAAACCAGTTCATCCAAATGATCACTGTAATATGTCCCAATCTTCAAATGATACCTTCCCAACTGTTATGCATATCGCTGCAGTTACTGAAATTTCCAATTCTTTAATTCCAGAATTAACTAAATTACGTGATGCTTTACAAGTCAAATCTGACGAATTTAATCACCTCATTAAAATTGGTAGAACTCATTTACAAGATGCTACTCCTTTAACTTTAGGTCAAGAATTTTCTGGTTATGTTCAACAATTAACCAACGGTATTGAAAGAGTTGAAAAAACTTTACCAAATTTACAATTATTAGCACAAGGTGGTACCGCTGTTGGTACTGGTTTAAATACTAGAAAAGGTTTTGACTCTAAAATTGCTGAAGAAGTTTCTAAATTAACTGGTTTACCATTTAAAACCGCTCCAAATAAATTTGAAGCTTTAGCTGCTCATGATGCTGTTGTTGAAGCTTCTGGTGCTTTAAACACTGTTGCTGTTTCTTTATTCAAAATCGCTAATGATATCAGATACTTAGGTAGTGGTCCAAGATGTGGTTATGGTGAATTAAGTTTACCTGAAAACGAACCTGGTTCTTCTATTATGCCTGGTAAAGTTAACCCAACTCAAAATGAAGCTTTAACCATGGTTGCTGCTCAAGTTATGGGTAACCACACTGCCATTACCTTCTCTGGTGCCTCTGGTCAATTCGAATTAAATGTTTTCAAACCAGTCATGATTGCAAACTTATTATCTTCAATTAGATTAATTGCTGATGGTGCTGCTTCTTTCAGAGAACACTGTGTTGTTGGTATTAAAGCTAACGAAGCTAAAATCTCTCAAATCATGAATGAATCTTTAATGTTGGTTACTGCTTTAAACCCAAAGATTGGTTACGATAATGCTTCTAAAGTTGCTAAAAATGCTCATAAAAAGGGCTTGACTTTGAAACAATCCGCTTTAGAATTGGGTGTCATCAGCGAAGAAGACTTTGAATTCTGGGTCAGACCAGAAAACATGATTGGTCCAAAAGATTAATCAAATCAACTATTCAATTGCTTATTTATATAAGTATATAAAAAGAAAATAGAACAAATATAACGATATTTATGTATGTCACTTTGTTGACTCCGTACACCAGCACCCTCGATTTCCGTGTCTTAACCGAATTCAGAGGGAAAACAAGCGAAAACACTAATGGAAATTTATCAATTAGAGCCAATGATATCGCTATAGGAGATAGTCATCTGAAGCTCATATAAGGAATCGCATTATCTAATGGCACTTTCTAGTATCTTAGAACAGATTAAGAAGAAAGGTCAAATACAAAATAGACAACATCAAAATGGACACAACAATACTACTACGAATAACAATTCATTAAAGCCGTCATCAACAATTAATCGTAATATTCTGCCACCAAGAGAAGTCGATCCTGTTGTTGCTAGGTTGAAAGCTGCCAGAAAAGCTGAACGAGAGAAGAAGGAACAGGAAGCAAGAGAAAAGAAGGGACTTCCACCTAAAAAGGAAAAACCTACTAAACCCAGAAGCAAATCGGTACCTAAGAATGGGACGTCCAATCCAAAATCAATCCCACCTCCAACCCAGCCTATACGTAGACCACCTCCCAAAAAAATGAACTTTACCGAACTCATGAAGAAGGCATCACAGGTTGATCATAGCAAGTTGTCTATAGACATCAAATCCAAGTCCCCTGATGCTTCCTCAACTGCAAGGACCCCCAGGTCTCAAGATTCAAGCCGTGCTAAGAATAATGGCTCAATAAGGCGTGAAATGGCACCTTTGAAAGACTTGAGGGCTAAACCCGGTCTGCGGATTAATGGTAATCCCCAGTCACATAAATACAACTCTAAACCGCCTTCCTCGTCGGTTAGAGCATCACTGGCCCCGGCACCGACACTCCACAAAGCACCAGCTTCGCGAGCACCTATACCTGTTAGACAGCCATCGTCCAAATTACAGGAGAAGCTTAAGGGTAAAACCAAGAGTCCTAATTCAAGCCAAGTTGCCCGTCACAGTGGTGGGGGTAATGACTACGATGAAGAAGCGGAAGATGATGAAGAATTAGATTCGTTTATTGTCGACGATGAAGAAGAATACGAGGCAGAGGACGTGGGAGAAACGGATTATGATCGAGATGAGATCTGGGCAATGTTTAATAGAGGTAAAAAACGTAGTGATTTTGCAAGATACGACGATTACGATTCTGATGATATGGAAGCCACTGGTAATGAAATTTTCGAGGAGGAAATGAAATCAAAGAGAAGAGCAATGGCAGAAGATAAAAGAGAACTCGAGGAAGAACAAAGAAGAGCCGAATTAAAGAAAGCCAAAAGACAACGGTTGCAAAAGTAAGTTCTGTAACATATAAATACATTATTTATTTACTAATTAAATTTGTAATTGCAAAAANATTTGCTAGTGAAGGAGTAGACATTGATAATGAAAAAAAAAAAAAAACACCCAAAAAAAGCAGCGAACAAAAAAAAATTATATGAAAAATGAAAGAACCATCGCAAGACCAAAGGTTTACCAAGAGCAGATCAATGGACAAAGAGTTACTTTCGCGGCTTGATATTAATAGAGTAACGAAGGAAATAAGGAAGGACTCGCTTTCCGTTAAGAACCGGCTTCAATCGATCCTTTACGACTCCAAGTACATTGCATCACTAGAACTTGAAGATGTTCCATTGATACCTAATGAAAGATGTGGGTTGTGGTATGTCAGACCAGCCGCAAGGGCCGGATCATCGTATTTCAAGTCCACGGATGGACACACGAATAATTGGAATTTTTCATTTAGGAGGTTAAACTTACATTTGTTGACTATCTTGTCGCAATCACCAACAAAGAAGATTGCCATCATCGACTCTACCAGAAAGGGGAAACTCATGCCTGATGCGTTACTGAAAACCATACCTATATGGTGTGCGGTATTGACTTGTCTCTTGTACGAAGGTATTAGTGAGAATGAGGTAGCCGATGATCTTGATATGGATAGACAAGATCTCGCCGATTTAATGAAGAACAATTGGTTGAGAACTCCCGAGGAAATGGTAAGTAGAAATGAGCATAATGAAATTGTGAAACGGATACCAGGGTTCCTTAAGGAATTGAAAAGCTTGAAATTAGTGACCCAAGAGCAGTTGATTAATAAGTTGGGTTCTCAGAAACCAATTATACCTAGTTGGAAGTATCCCAAGAATACAGAAGAACCATTTTACTTTGGACAAAGTGCCAACGGGCATTTCATAATTGAGTGTATAACTGCATCTAAGAAGACTGGGAACTCTGGATCAAACGTAATGGTAAGACGTAATGATAAAGTCACTAGTTGGTTTTATGTACAAGGAGCTGCAGATGACCATGAGCTATGGGTTCCAAAAGATATGACCCATTTGGATGCCAATGGGTTCTGGGAAATGCTTACCGATGGGATCATCGATAAGGATACTGGATACATATACGATTGGATGAACGACCAAGAGGTGATCAGCCGAATGAAAACAATTGAAACCGCAACGATCGAAGAAGACTTGGACGTTCATTTAGTCAAAAATGAATACAATAATACCGGGATTTATTTTGGCAAAATTGCAAAAAATATCAGTGTCGAGACATTGCAACCATACAAGGTTTCGCAATTAGTAATTATGAGCGAGCATTATCAAATGAACGGAGAATCATCAAGAATCAAGTACCAATACTTTAAAATTGAATCTTCTAAGAAAGGATCCAAGAAATTAAGAGACGTCATACCCAAAGTGCTAAGTAACCTTGACTTAGACCAACCAGTGATGATTTTGTGTGATTCAGGTAAAGACATTTGTGTTGGCTTATTATTAGTTATACTAAGTATTAATTATAACACAAATTGGACAACACCAAAATCCGAATCGAATCATATTAATAAAGATGCCATCAAGCAGCATCTAGTTCAAATTAACGAGATCCACCAGGTGAACCCCAGTCGTAATACCTTGCAAAGTGTCAATAGTTTTGTTATGTGAAGTGATGTAAAGGGACTCTTCATAAGTTTTTTCACAACCATTTTGACAGATAACAGTATGGAACCATGAGATGGGCTTATATCTCCGACCATCAAAAAAGGTTTCGCACTTAAAGATAATGCTCCACGGATAAAGAAAAGAAAAAAATTAAGTACTTAAGAAGAGAAAATTTTCACTAATTTCCAGTTTTTAACATCAATATATATAGCCAGAATGTCAGTCACTAGAAGAATTCTTTGTTTACCAGGATATTTGCAAAACGGGAAAGTTTTTGCTGAAAAATCCTCTGGGATTAGAAAATTGCTCACCAAAAAATTGGGATTTGAATTAGATTATGTTGATCCACCAATCAAAATCAATACCAAGGAGGAATTACCGTTCAAATTGGGTGAAACCGAGGAAGAGCAAGCCAGTAAGTGGGATGCTATAGTCGAGCAAGATTTGAATAGATGTTGGTGGGTTCATAAGGATCCAGGTACTTATGAAGGATTTGATGAAGCATTAAATTATGTCATTGAACAGATTAAAACCAAAGGACCATACGATGGGATCATTGGGTTTTCCCAAGGTGCAGCCATGGCCGCCATTGTCACCAACAAAGTGAAAGAATTAGTGCCAAATCATGAACATTTCAAGATTGGGGTATTTTTTTCCGGATTTGTCTTTACTGAACCAGTTAACAGTGAAGACATAATGGTTAATTTAAACCATTCAATTGAAAATGTGAAAGAGTATCAAGAAAAAGTTAAAGTGGTGCCAGAATTCGTTGATAGATTCACTTTACCGAAATGTGAAACCAGAATCCTTAACATTTATGGATCTAGCGATAACACCGTTCCTGGCATCAGATCCGAATATCTTTCTACATTCTATCCACAAGAACAATTACAAGAGTTCAAGCACGAAGGGGGCCACTTTTTGCCCAACAAAAAGAACTTCCTCAACCCAATCATTGAAGTTTTCAAAGAAGTTTTCGATATAAAATCTAATTTATAGATTGTATATAGACGTAATAAATGGCCAGGACACCCAAACACCACCGTAATCACCGGCGTATGTCGCGCGCGTACCAGAAATCAATTGAATATAAAGAAAAAAAAGAAAAAGAAAAAAAAAAAAACCTACTGCTGAACGTAGGTCTGAACATTACTATGGCTGAACAAAAGTACGAAGGAGCCGATTTGTCGGACCTGTTTTCGAGAAGAGGAGACTCTGCGCCCACCGGTCAGCCGTCAAGTGTGTACGGAGAGGAGCAGCAACAACGACCAGCATGGATGAAACTGGAGAAGAATAAGCTCTACGATAAGTATGGAACCAAGCAAACCACCAGGGAAGATACCAGAGATGATCGGTATAGTAAATACGGGGTGCAAGATAACAAACGGGTTAGACGAGAGGAGGAAGAGGAGGAATTGAAACGACAAAAAATCGATTATCAAACATTTCAAAGCCGAATTGATAAAGAAAAAGATATTAATAGTATAGTGAGAAGTCACTATAATCAGCGAACCTATCAATCCAAATTACAAGGATCGCGAACCAAATCCCCCATATATAAATTGAGAAATTTCAATAACGCCATTAAATATATTATGTTGGGGAATTTTTTCCCAACTAAACGAGAAGCAGGACCCCGAACAGTACTTGATCTATGTTGTGGTAAAGGAGGAGATTTGAATAAGTGTGAATTTATATCAGTTGATCAATATATTGGGATAGACATATCCGATGCATCGATTAGTGAAGCTTTTAGCAGGTATCTGCAGAATCGGGCCAGATTTATACCGCAAAATGAAGAAAGTAAAAAGCAAAGAAATAGTAAAAAATATAATTTTGAAGCTTGTTTTGCTACTGGAGATTGTTTTACTAATAGCATTCCGGAGATCTTAGAGCCTAATTTCCCCGGAATAATAGAAAACATGTTCCCGGTTGACTGTGTTAGTATTCAATTTGCAATGCATTATGCATTTGAAACCGAAGAAAAAGTTAAAACCCTATTAAATAATATTACTAAATCACTAAAACCGGGAGGTACATTTGTGGGAACAATACCTTCTTCGGACTTTATCAAAGATAAAATATTGAAAAAAAATTTTATTGACGGGGAAACAGGTTGCAAATTTGGTAATAAATTGTATTCGGTTACATTTGAAAAGCCGCCACCTGCCGATGGTATTTTCAGGCCTCCATTCGGCAATAAATACGTGTATTATTTGAAGGATGCAATTGATGCGATTCCCGAATACGTGGTTCCCTTTGAATACTTTAGATCTTTATGTGAAGATTTTGGTTTAGTATTAAAGTATAAAAAGAATTTCATTGATATTTTCAATCAAGAAATCCCCAAGTATTTCAGTAAGTTGAATAAGAACTTAGTAGAAGGAATGAAGAGAAGTGATGGGAAATACGGCGCAGAAGGTGACGAAAAGGAAGCAGTTGGATTCTACATTGGTTTCGTATTCGAAAAACTTGGTTAAACCCTGAAAATAAGTAAATAAGATAAAGACAACAACCAAAACCAAAAAAAAATAATTAAAAAAAATAAATAAAAAAATAAATAAAAAATTAGATAATACTTTGTGCTTTAAAAATCTGTAAGGAAAAAAGAAACTTTATTCATATGCCCGAGGATAATATTTGAATATACGAAAGAAAAATAAAAGAAAATAAAATTTGTATTCATGCCGAAAAAACTATTTTTTAATGAAATGAAACTAAACTGAAATGAAATGAACTAAAAATAAGGAAGTTTGTTAAAAAATAAAAACCCAGTGCAAGTGAAGCTGTTTTCTCTTTTGTTAGGTCGGGGTTTTGTGTGCAGTTCGCTTTGTATGCATGAGAAGAGTGGCCTGCACACTGCGCGGAGTGATGAATCTATAAACAAAACGAAAAAGAAAAAAAAAAAGAACAAAAAACAAGCAAAAAAAAAAAAAAAAAAAAGAAAAAGAAAAAAGGCAATTTGTTCTTTTTGCTCCTTCGTTCCTTTTGTTTCTTTGTTCAATTTGTTCTTTGTTCAGTTTGTTCTTTTAACTCACTTTATTTATTGATTAGGCTGAGTTTAAAAAAATAAAGAGGAAAAAAGAACAAAACCCAGTATGTGACCAAATTATGGAATTAGAGTTTTAGTGTGTGATCAAACAAAGCACGGACGATGATGTTATAATAGGAATAGTATATGTAAGTGAATAGGTGTATATAATGAAACAAAGCAAAGATAAAATAATAATAAAATAAACTAAACTAGTTGATCTATAATTTCATTTATTATTTTAGTAAAAGAGAGAAACAAAAAAAAAAAAAAAAAAAAAAAAAAAAAAGTACTTGCTTATTTTAAATATACATAATTTTCCAAATATTTCATCTTTTGAGTTGTCTCTTTTTCTTCGTTCAAGCATGTCAGAAGATTTGGGACTGAAATCTTCGAGTGATTCAATAAAGTCAAATGAATCGGTTAAAAAACAAAAAGTAGATGATAAAACTTATAAAAATGTTTCGATAAAATCGATCTTAAATAATAAAGATGTCCCACTACATCATAAGAAAGATTTAAGTATTGATTCAAAATTTGAATCAATTTCTTTACAGCCACAGCAATATCAATACCTTCCTCCAGTACAATACCCTCAACCACCACACCCCCAACTTCAACAACCAAGCCGAACTGCATCTCCCGAAGAAAAACGAGGTCGTCGATTTCGTAGAAGATATAATCAAATTGTTCGTAAATATAACTGTTCTTATCCTGGTTGTTCCAAGAGTTATGGCTCTTTAAATCATTTAAATACTCATATAGTTACAAAAAAACACGGTCAAAGAAAATCAAAAGCTGATTTCACTCTTAATGATAATCAAAAATTAGAACATCACGGTAATTATTGGTCGGTCCCCAATAATTACTTACCTTATCAACCCCAACCTTACGTTGATAATAGAACCGGTTATGTCTATTATAATTATGATGATCCTTACTATTATCAACATCCACAACCAATTCCTCCAATGCAACCTATTCCTCCATTACAACATATGCAACAACAAGTACCTCCGGTACAGCATATACAACAACCACTACAGCAACCACTACAGCAACCACTACAGCAACCACTACAGCAACCACTACCGCAACCACTACCGCAACCCATTCCACAACCCATTCCACAACCCATTGCTCATCCACTTCCTCATCAAATGCCTCAACCAATTCCTCCAATTCAACTTAATCCATTACCCCCGGTTCTGGCTCCTCCGGTTCTGGCTCCTCCGGTTCTGGCTCCAGCTCTGGCTCCTCCATCTCAACCAGGACAACAGCCTTCGGCCACTACTTCTCCAAAACCATCTTCAAATTCCTCACCAAATCCTCCTCAATAGACTATAGATTACTTGTATTTTTAATTTTCGGGCTTTATTTTAATTCATCGGTTTTGCATTATTTATTCACCTTTTCTTTCATGTATATTCTGTAACATTAATGTATCTCAAACATATCTGTATTACTGTATATTACGCACCTCTTATATTTTAATTCCGCTTCACGGTTCGAGATTCAGTCTTCTGAGTCGGTCTACTTTATTTACTATTTACTCAATCTTCAATTTAACTATTAATCTCTTGCATTTACTGCAAAAAAAAATCTAATTCAACGTGACAGCTGGTTGACTTGTCGACGTTCCATTTGTTTAATCTGTCCGGGTTTGTTCAACCTTCGTCGTACCTTTCTCTAACTTATGAAACATCTTCTACCTCTCTACGCCTCCCCCTGTATTAGAGTTTTTGTGAGATGGTGGTCTTGCGATTTCTTTTTCTCAATTGTCCAAATTTGGCTTTTTAGAGCTTTTGCGCCGTTTCACCGTTTTTTATCACCTTTTTTGGTTTCTTTTGCAATTGGAGAACTCCGTAATAATACACCCGTACCTCGGTAAACCTCCGTACCTCTGTTGTACATCCGTGCACCACTCTTTTTTTTTTTTTTTTTTTTTTTTTTTGATTTTTCGATACTTCGATTTCGTGTGTGGTGAAAATAAAAATCAATCAAAGTTGATTCTTGATTAACCGCCCACCAAGAATGGGTAAAAAGAATAAAAAGACCTCCAATGGAGGGACTCAGAGTAAGTCAATTGGTTATAAGGGGCCCCCTGTGGCTGAAAGTGCTGGCACTGGGGGTACAACCGACGATCAGGCTACCGATCAGGCTACCGATATGATCGATCAGGCTACCGATATGATCGATCAGGCTACCGATCTAACTGCAGATCATACTGAAGGAGGTGAAGCTCACGAATCTGGAACCGCCAAAGATGAAGTTGAAGTTAGTAAAGACAATGGTGAAGTTAGCAAAGATAATGGTGAAGTTAGCAAAGATAATGGTGAAGTTAGCAAAGACAGTGAGCCTAGTATCAAAGACGCCGGTGAGCTTGAAAGTACCAAGGATACTGAATCTAATGTCATGGCCGGTGAATCTAAGACTGAGACTGGTAAAAATACTGAAAAGACCAATGATAAGACTGAAAAGACCGATGAAAAGACTGAGACTGGTGAACCTAATGGAGAGCCCCCGAAAACAAGAAAAAGACTCACTCTTCAAGAAAGATTGGCTCTTGCGGCCAAAGGTGGTAAAAAATCATCTACCAAATCTTCAGTCACGTCTCTCCCTCCTGAACCATCTACTCCAGTTGCATCCACTCCAGTTGCGTCCACTCCAGTTGCGTCCACGCCAGTTGCATCTCCAAGACCAGCTTCCCCTGCCAATCACGATGAACTAAGCTCACTAAAATCACAAAATAAAGAATTATTAGAAGAATTGAAAAAATTAAAGAGTCAAAATAACAATTCCTCAGATAAAAAAGATTTATTACTGAAAATATCTCAAAAAGATGAAACAATCTCTCAATTATTAAAAGAAGGTGAACAATTATCAATTAAAGAATTGAAATTAAATGATACTATCAAAAGTTTAAAACAATCTAATTTAAAACTTGAATCAAATTTGAAAATTTTCTCTGATAAAAATAATGAAGCTCAATTACAAATAAATGAATTGGACAATTTCTTGCATAAACATAAATTTAAATCAATAGATCAACTAATGGATTCCTATAATGAAAAGTTGAAAAATATAACTGATATGAATAATAAATTTGACCAGGAAAAATCTCTTAATTGGGAATCAAAATATAAAGAACAACAAAAATTATATGATAATGAATTAAGTGAAAAGAAAAAACTTTCAAAAGAGTTGAATGAACTTAATATTAAATTAGATATGATGAAGTCTCAATCAGTATTAGATTTAAATTCTAAAGATAATTTAATAAATAATTTGAAAAAAGAAATTAACCATTCAAAGGAAGAATCATTAAATGAAATATCAAGATTGGAAAGCAAATTAGAATTTTTCCGTATCGAAAATGAATCTTTCAATAATGATGCTACTAAAAATGATTCAAAGAATTCTGAAAATGGTAAAGTTATTGATTATGATGAATTTGCTAAATTATCAACAACTCATCATAATTTACAACAACAATATATTTCATCACAAGAAAATTGGAAACTAATTGAATCAAACTTGTTATCAAAAATTGATAATTTATCTGCATCATTAGATATTTTGAAAAAATCAAAATTAAAAATTTCAAATGATTTAAAAAAATTAACAAATAATTTAAATAACAAAGATGATGAATATAATGATTTATTGAAAAATTATGAAAGTTTGAATAAAGAAAATCAAGATTTAAAATTACAGTTAAATTTAAAAATTGAAGAAATTAAAGAGTCTCAAGAAAAATATGATAAATTTAAAGTAATTTTCAATAATGATCGAGAAAAATTAAATGTCAAGATTGATTCTTTAAATAATGAAATTCTTAAATTGAAGGAAGATTCAAGTCCAAGCATTACTATTGATGACCATACTCAATCTTTTGTGCGTCCTCTTCCTCAAATGAGAAGTTTAAATAATAGTGGTCTTCACATAAATATCGAACCTCCAACTAAATCTCAATTTAGAAATTCAAGTCCAAGCATAGACTCTCCTACCCAATCACCATCGTGGCAAGAAATAAGAGTTGGCGAATCTTCAACCACTCCTGCAATTAATAAGGATTTTTCAAGCGTATTCTTAAATGCATCTCATAATAATTCATCCTCTTCCTTACATGACAATAGCTCTAATCTCAACGATGACTATGACGATTCATTCTCTTCGCATTTGAAAAGTGGCAATCAAAGCATAAGTGGCTTGATGCCAAACTCTGGAAATAATAACATTCAATTAATAAGTAAAATGAGCTCTAATATTAGAAGACTTGAAATCGAATTGAATACACTAAAAGAAGAAAACTCAAAACTATCCTCGGAAAAAGAACAAGCCCAGCAGGAACTTTTAAAGAAATTGAAACTTACTGACGAAGTTGAAAACTTAAATGCAACTATTGACAATCTCAAGACCGAAATCGATAATAAATCAGCTAAAGAACTGACAATGTTACAATTAATCGGGGAAAAATCAGAACAAGTGGAAGAACTCAAAGCTGATGTTCTCGACTTGAAGGACCTATGCAGACAACAAGTCCAACAAATGATAGAATTACAAGAATCTAAATAGTTTATACATTTAATGCCACTCTTTCACTTATTCTTTGATTTTGCAATTTTGATACGCCAGTCGTGCGGAATCGAATCCCATCTCAAATAAACCAAAAAAAAAAAAAAAGTCTGTATGCACACCTACGAAATTTTTCAAAGCGAAGACCTTCATCGCTTTTTTCAAACATCTAACGTAACTACCATATTCGACCAGTTCTTTCGACGGAAAACATACAAAAGTATACTATGGAAAGTGTATATACTAGTGTTGATCCTACTGGGTCATTTTGTGCCAACATCATCTCGAAAAAGGGTAGAAATGAGGTGCAAATATTCCCTATCGACAAGACATCATCTGAAAATATCATTGTAAATGCATTAATCAAAAAATTTGAATTATCCTCTGATGATAGAATCCGTGATGTCACCTGGGTTTCTGCTGAACGCACAAGCAAATCTGATTCTAAACGAGGTACCAAGAGATCCAAATCTGAAGAAAAAATTGATACTAATGATACAAATGAATCAATTAATTTGATTATACTAATAGAAAGCGGTGATCTCCTTGTATTTTCTCCATTTAAAGATGAAGTGGTTGAAAGAATTTCCAACGAAACTAAATTAAAGGCTTTGACCGGTTCTTTGAAACAACAGTCTATCGTTGGTATCAAGGAAGATAATGAACTTCTTGAGATCAATTTGAGTAATAATAAAACTAAGACATATAAGTTTAAAAAGAGTGGTGAGGATATTCAAACTTTAAAGTCAATAAAGTATAAAGGAAATGGATCAACTAGTAAGTCACAATACATTCTTTTGGGCTCTCAAAATTTATTTTTAATTGATACTTCGAGATCGAAAAAGTCTTTAGTAAGTGAATTTCCCAAATTTGAAGAACTGAAAAGGATTAAGAATATACAGCAATCAAAAATTCAAAATGATATCGTATTTGTTTCAAGAGATGATTGTGATTTAATTTATTTATATAATTTAAGTACTCCTGAATCTTATAGTACCTTCAAAACTTCAAGTTCCAAAATATTTAATATTCAAACTATCGCTTCAAATGAAGCAGAAGCATTAATGGCACTTACTGAAGATGGTATAGAAATTTTTAATATTGACTTTGAAACTCAACACTTAGAACAAAAACCAATTGGTCTTATTAAAACTGACTTTCATGACTCTGATGCTTCGATTTTATTCAAAAATTTATTTACTAAGGCCAATGAACAACTTATTGGTATATGGCATGATAGAAATCAGCCTCATTTTTCAATTATTGATTGGCTGTTAAAAGATATTGGTGAAAGGATTATTGCAATTGATTATAGTGAAATAAATGATTTAGAAATTGATAATAATGAAGATGATCAACCTAATATTTTACTTCCAGATCAAGTTGAAGTTGTCAATATATCTTTCAATGAATTATCTAAACAATTGAGTGGTTTGCTAATTGAAAGAAATTCCAATACCGAAGAGATTATAAAATTATGTGAATCAAATAATGATGAAACAAATATTAAAGAAACCATCCGTTCATTTGCAACTTTACCAAATTCATCATTACTCACAAACAATTTATTTGATATATTAAGTCATAAAATCTCTAAAGATTTTACCACTAAAAGCTCGTTATCCATTTGGCTTAAGTGGCTTTTAACCGTACAAGGTGGGTTTATCTCTAAACAAGCAGAACAACATGGAAATTTAAAATCTTTGCAATCTGGATTAGAAAAAGGTATGAAATTATTACCTCGTTTGTTAGCATTACAAGGTCGTTTACAACTTTTAAAGTCACAAGCTGATTTAAGAAGTAATATGCATATTGATGATGATGATGATGATGAAAATCAAGATGATGAAAATCAGACCTTCAATGAAAGCTTTGCCAACCAAACTACTCTTGCGGAAGAGTCAATCGTTTATGCTAATGGTGAAAACGATGATTTCGAAGAAAATGAAACGTTTGATGCTGGTGATGCCGAATTGGTTGAAGAAGAAGAAGAAGAGGATGATCAGTAGTTTGCAATAACTAGTAAATAGACTAATACTAAAAATAATTTAATGTATACTTCTACTGTAAATGATATTTATTGTATTCTTATAAGCTAAGAAGTCGACTAGTAGCGCTTCTTCCGTAGAGTTTTTGAAATAGTGACAAATCCTTCTAATGTGAGTTGATAGCCTAAGATTCTTCAAAATGGTGATATGAACTGATATCTCACTTACCTCCCAAACTTGTACCTGGGGTCCTTGCAATAAGGATTTGCTTCCTTTTCTTCGTTTTGACTACATTCTTACCTACTTTCTCTTTGGCTGATTTCTTACGAAAGGCGCAATGTTGATTATTTTTGCGCTTTTCGCAGCCGAAGCAGAGTATTTTTTTTGATTTTAGTTGCAAACATAAACTTACCACAAATGACAAGAGTCTTTAAATACCAAATTCAACTAGATCATCTTCAGAGTCAGAACTCATTCAAGTCAAAACATGAATTCAAAGTACTATGCTAAGATCTTGAAAAGTCAAGGTGACGAACTTAATGAGTATGATGACAACATCCCACCCGAGAAATTGATGGAGATCTTTCTTTCTGACAACATTGTTTACGTCAACTACATTCCTCCTGATGTTATGAAAGAAAGGTATCGGAACCAATGGTATGATGGTAATCAGTTAAATGACCATAGATTAGTCTATGTCAGTTCTATTTCAATCGCCGGATATACTTCTTCAGAAAGAATTGAGTTTATCAAAGAGCACGAATTATTGCGAAACAAGTACTCTTGTGAACGGTTGAAATACATCAACAGTGTCACACCTAAATTGTTGGAAATGATGATTCCCGAGGAAAGGTATGAGATCAAGTCCAAATTAATAAGCCGGATAGAGACCTCAGACGAGATTGATTTACCACTTCTTGCCAATACGGCATTCCCATTTTTTACTATTCAATTGGCGCTTGAGTTCGAAAGCATTGGCATAAATACATTTCTGAGTGTCCATGGCTCTATATCTAACAGCAGGTTATCTAACTTTGTGTTTTCTTTTGAAACTGAATTAACTGATCAAAGTTTGAACAAATTAAAAACGTTCCAGCGGTGTTTTAGAGCAGCCGTGTTGAATTTAGATGAAAGGAACTGTCAAAAAGCGTGGAGGAAGATTCTCCTGACCCTTTCATTAAAGCCTTCTTGGTCCCTACCAGTAAATGAAGCCGGATGTCTTGAACTTTTTCAAAATTACATTGGACGTCCAACCACCGACTTTCTTTCTGTTGCAGGTCATCATATCATGCCCCGTACACATCACAGGACTAGTGACAGCCAGTTTAGTGGCAGCATTCGACTGTCGGAAGTCAGCGGTATACCGGACATACTTTATTGCAAGAAAAACGTCCCTTTAGTAGCTGTTGGACTCCAGGGTCCTGGTTTTAGTGACTTGATCAAAGATGGAATTGATGACTCGAGCGACGCTTTTAAGTCAATCATCAGGCAAGTAGGTAGGTACTTCATCGCTTGTAATACTACTCGTGCGATAGTAACTAATTTCCACCACTCCCTTTTCATAGAAATTGGTGAGCTATCAAAAGAGCTTACGGCTGAAACTGAAGTAGTGATCCCGCTTCGCTACAGATCATTCACTTTGAGCAGTCTGGGTATAACGGTGCAAGCAGCATTCTTAGCTTGGCTCTTCTTTGAATCCGCCGAAGAAGAAAAGCTTCACGCAGAAAGACAAAAGCAAACTGTCAGTGCTTTTATAAAAGCTGTGAGAAAGGATATTGACAATAAGTCACATAGTGCTGGAATCGGGAAATCACTTGCCAGAGAAAGTAATGCTAATAGTAATATTAACCCCCAAAAGAGCAATTCTCATGTCGAAGGTAAATGTGAATCGTGGACTGGATTTGAAGTATTACAAGGACAAGGACACCGGAGTCATGTCTATAAGTTCCAAGTGGGCTTACTTTGCAAATTTTTCCCATATTTCAATGAAGTCCTCACAGGCTTGAACCAAGACGATCTGGTGGTCATGAAGCTTTTCATTCCGGATGTTGTTGCTAGACTCGATGGGTGGCCGAATCCAACCATGAAGGAGATCAATATTTGTATTCAAGATTTCCTCAAAGAAGCATCCTGTTATGAACTGATTGCAAAACACAATGCATCTGCTGAAGAGAAAATCCACACTCCTAGTCTTTATTACTATGGAGCATTCCGCATGAATGTCCAGGACCTGGACCCTATCGAGGGATTCTACTTATTATTATCGTACATCGAGGAAGATGAAACCAAAATCACCAAGTCAATGGTTGAAAATGGATGCAGACAACTCGAAATGATGGGGGATATTGGGATCCAGCATCACGATATTGCAAATAGAAACTGCAAAGTTGCCGATGGCAATATTGTATTTTTGGACTTCTCTCATGCTAAGAACCGGGAGCCCAAATACGATAACTCTGACGATATTCATGATCTTAAATATATTTTTAGGAAGAAAGCGGTGGTGACGATTGATCAACATTATTTCTTTGGGCAACTCCCAGGGGTGCAAAACCTGATACAAAATAATATATATTCGATGTATTAATACACATATTAACTGTTAAACAGGTGAAGTAATGTGTGCACGTAAGTAATTTCCCATTTAAGAAGATTAGTTTATATGTGTATTATTGTTAGTATGATAAGGGCCAAAAAAAGTAGTATCAAGGTTTTTCATGAAAAGCTGCAAAAAGTTGCAAATTTCCTATACTCTCCACCTAAGTAACAGCTTCTACGAGACAAAACTACATGTATGAAACCTGGACGATAAGGCCCAGACTGCCAAAGAAGGTACTAGATTCGATGCTTAAACTGTTTTAGGGCCAGAGTCCGCTCTATATGGCTACTCAACAGATATAAGTCGCAAAACACAGTTGTATTACACACAGGCAAACCAAGCATATACAGATTAATATGGAATGGTGGTGGATTAATTTATTTATTAAGTCAATCTTTAATTTTTTCTTAAAAGGAAGTGTAAACTATTACAACTAAATTGAACAATGAAAACATAATAGGGGATATATAGCATAAAGCGTTTCCTCGAAGAGTATATCTATAGTTCTACAGGGGGACATTAGACCAGCAAAATATTTATTCAACGAATAATGATAGGCAGAACCGGGCAGAAAACCAACACGGGAAAAGTTACTTCCACTGTCTGGATTAGACAACGGATCCAAGAAGATATATGTGCCAATTTTTCTTTAAGAATGTATCCAACTAAATATAAATTTAATATAGATTTAAAACCTTTGCAATTTGATCCAAAAATACACAATAATGGAATGATAAATGAAGATGGAGTTTTGACTTTATATGGCGATAAGAAATAGATCTGTTTTAGTGAGCCAACAAGTAAGGACCCCAGGAGAGGCCGATGAAGATCGTCGAAAATCAATAAAACATTTAATTAGGTAAAGGTATCTATTTATCTTGGGAATCGAATTAATGGTTAATTATAAGGAAGCATTTGTTGATATGGGAGGTGGAGGATTTTAGTTATCATCCTCAGATCACCCATATATTCATCGGGATTATCCTCATAGTGGGCATCCTCGATTTCGTCCCTGAAATCTTCATCAGAAAAATCCAAAATTGAGTCGGGGTTTGAGTTGGAAAATCAGTTGAAAGAGGCGATGGATGGGAAAGTTTTTGAAGTAAATGGTTTAGTAAAAATTTTAGTTATAGATTTAGTGGAGTTTTTGTTGATATTTTGGGAATTTTATTTTTGAAGCTTGCAGGTGAAGGTTTTGGAAGGAGAAAGTGGATTAAATCTGTGATTTTGGATGGACTCTCTTTTTTTAGGTGTCTGAGGAGTTTAATGTACGAGTTGATTCTCCTTGAGGGTTTCTAATATGATAACTTTGGGTAGTTTCTTCAGCATCTTCATCAGAGAACGCAGAAGGACAAAAAAACGGTTGCTGATTTGGTAGAAAATGAGTTGTTGTTGTTTCCTCCTCTCTTATTGGAGCTAGTTTTTTTGGGATTTGAAAATCATTTGAGGTTTTGGTTGTTTAGACTTCAAGTGATTGCCCTTCCTGGGACAATTTGGTCCAATATGACCTGGTTGGAAACATCTGTGGCACTTTTGTTTGAGACAAGTATCTCTTGAGTGTTCTAACAGGCTGCAGAAACTGCAATGGTGCATTTTGGATTTAATCACAAATTTACCAGTTTGATTGTTTTTGTTCCATGATTTGGCTGGCAAATCATTCAGTTCGAGGTATATGATGCCATACGAAACGATGTGGGAAAAATCAGAGTGGGTGAAATTGTTGATAGCAATGGGTTTCGTTTCCAATATGGAAAAAGTTGGGCGGATATCCATGTTTGCAATGATATTGTTGAGGAAAGTATTTGGCCGAATATTTGGAGAGGTGGTGATCTGAAAAAGAACACTCTTTTTGGCGTTGAGTTGGATTGTGAAACTGTAATCACACTTTTTGATTCTTTTATCAGTTTTTGAAGAACCATTATTCAATTTTGGAAGGTTAATAGTTAAGCCATTATAATGTTGGATTTGATCTTGTTGTTGTTGATATTCCGTGGGAAAATCGCCTTCTAAAGCTTTGTTCTTGGGGTTTGCCTTATAAGAGTCACGGGAAGTGCAACAATAACGAACAGACCATTGTTGAGTGTCTTTGGCTCTAAAGATTACTTGCTTAATCTCGGAGATGTTTAAACAAAAAATGATTTCTCTGTTAAAACGAGCTCTTATCTTGAAAAGTTCGGTTTGAGCTTCTTTGAGTTTTTGTAAGGCTTCATTGTAATCACTGGAAACATTTGGAGCAGATTGCTTTGGTTGATTACCTAATTGACCACGAAAAATCCTGACCCCGGATTGAAGTTGGTGAACCAAAGTAAGCTGTTTTTCAACAGCTCTTTTCATATCTTCCAACTGTTGATGTTTGATTTCCATTTCCTTTTCATGGGCGTTTAATAGAGCCGAAGTGACTTCAGCTGGGTCCGCATTATGAGGGAAATTTGGAGGGGGATCAAAAGCAAATTCCCCATTTAATTCTAAAGAATCACGAGTCAAATATCGATAGATAACTGAGGTCGGAAGAGATTTTAATCCCTGATATTCTTGCCATCTATTTTTCTTAGAAGCAAATCTCTCCAAAAAATAGCGAGAGATTTTGAATTCAAAATCGAATTGTTCAACCAACTTTGGATACTTTTCATGGAAATTGACAATCTCTGAAGTGATTTCTTTGGTTGAAGAGAATCTATAAATGACTTCAAATATCTCTTTATCTAAATCTTTTGGGTCTTTGTTTTCAGTGGATAAACTGATCCAGGGATAACGACTGCGAGCGAATCTAAGGCGTTGCAAGTATTCCGAACCATGTTGAGTGGCATGGTTGTCTTCAAACGAAGTATTGTCTTTTGAATATTGTTTTGTTTGGCTCGAGGATGCAACATCACTCCAAAGTGGTCCCTGTTGTTCCACAGCAGAGACAGGGGAAGTTTTATATGGACTTTTCAAATTGTCTAGAACAACAATGCCATTTTCTTGCCTTGTTTTAGTTTCTTCTTGTAAAACTAAACTAGAGGATGAAGATTTAGCTTCTTCTGGAGAATCATATAAACCCTCGGAAAAGGAGTAAGTGATATCCGAGGTAGTAGTGTGATTACCGTAAGTTGATTTGATAACTAACGAATTAATGTTGTTAGTGGCCAGTTTTGGAGGCGACGTATCAAACCCAGGATAGTCACTCAGATCTGAAGTGTCCATAGGATTGTTGCCTGGTTCAGGGCAGTCATTTTGAGCCTCGAAGGAGTTGATTTGAGTAGGTTTTGGTGAAGAATTCTCAATGGGTTGTTGAGGGACGGTTTCACGATCATCAAGAACCATAGGGCTTCCTGGATCGATGTTTGGCTCAGGATCAACTTTGGAAGGTGAAGCGTACTTGGTAGAATCGATGGCAGTGAACTGAGTTGAATTTAAAGAATTGTTTGGGTCAGTAGTTGACATAATAAGTTTTTTTTTTTCTTTTTTTTTTCTTACGTATATCACTATATATCTAATAGTTATTCACTATTATATACCTGGAATGGGAAACACTATGTTTATTCGAGATGTTTGAGGTGGTGTGAGTGGTAGAGTCGATGGTGGTTCTTGGTGTGAGTTCCCAAGGAACTACTTAGTTTACTTTATAGATTGAGTGCCGAAATATCATAAGATACCAATTTTTTCGCAGCCTTTCTGCGTAACGCAGGAAGTCTTTCTGACTCCTGCTTCTGCGATAGTCGAAAGTCCTGAACTTTTAAAAGGATCAGGTGGTATATATTAATAGTTCGGATTTGCTTGGTGTCCAGAGAAGCGTTGGCGATAAAAAGAGACCAAGTTCTGTCAGGGACATTTTGTGTCGAAGGATACTGGCAGTAAGCCCAAATGAGATAAGTTGCACGGCACTCTAGATAGACATGGGTGAGAAACTCGTCTGGAATAAGGTCCCGGGAAAATCTGGGATCTACCTGGCGACCGCAAAACAGGCATTGGGGCTTGTTCACAAATGTCCATAGTTTAAGACCTAGGTTGAAGATATGGATGTGACGTCGAGAGAGAAATAGAAGGTCTTGATATGTTTCCAAAACTTTTTCCATTTGTCTGCCGAGCAAGAAGCAAGAGCTGTGAGCTGTTTAGACCCAAGTTCCGCGTCTTTGTCTTTATATTTGGTGATTTGGTGCTTATAGCTGGTCTTTTGAAAAAAATCCGGTTTAATCGTAGGAAGATTTGTAAAAGAGGTATCTGGCAATGGTTGCGTCATGGGTGCGTTGTATTCTTCCCAAATGTATTCAGTTGGAGGTAGACGATTGAAGTTATCTTTGAGGTGTGGCTTGATGAGTGTTTCCCAGGCCTTGACATATCGTTGTTCTGTCTTAGTGAAGTCTGGGGAGGTGATAATGGGGTTTTGAAAATAAATTCGGTAGGTGACGTGGAAACCCAAGAGAAGAACATACCACGGGACCGTTTTAATGGTCAAAGGAGTGACTATTGTTTGGCCATATAGCTTATTCACGTAGGTTTGAATCTTGTGCCTGAAAAAGATGTAGTGGTCGTTGTTGTAGTTGGTTAAAATATTATAAATGTATTTAGCCCGTCTACCCTGTAATTGATCTTGGAGTTCTAGGAGGCCAAAACCTCCGTAGATGATAGGTTTTGGTCCTTTTCTTACAAGAATACAAATAAATTTGGATGAAAGTGACCACCTTATATTCATCAAAGACGCTAACGAAGTTCGACTTTTGGCAAGAGTAGTTTAGTGGTAAAATCCAACGTTCCCATTGTTGGGCCCCGGGTTCGATTCCCGGTTCTTGCATGAGTCTAATTTTTTTTTTTTCCATCCGTTAAGCCTTGCTTAAACAACTCCCAAGATCGAGCCTCCCCTTACTAACCGTGCCTCCCCGACCAAGTACCAGTGCTTAACTATAACAATCTAGCATTGAGGTCCAAAGGAATCAGATTCTGTCGTTAATGTCTTTTTGGTGCGAGCTGCAAATGTGCAGGAATTTTGAAGCTGGAAAAAAAAAATTTAGTCAATGAAGAGATTTAAAAAAGTTTTCAGGATTGACTTTATAGTGATTGTATGGTATCAACCACCACGAAAGTTGGAGATTTGTTAGAGGATCCACTTCCAAGGTATCTAGAGATAGTTCTGCTGGTTTGGAAAGACTTTGTACGTGTCATAAAGACTAAATTGTTATCATGGATGCTCAATTCTTATTGCAATGTTTCTCTGCAACTCTACAAGCAGATCAATCGGTTAGAACACAAGCCGAAGCAGAGCTTCGTCGTTTAGTGATTACTCCTGGTTTTCTTGGAGGGTGTCTTGATATAATTGCGTCGACTGGAGAAGGAATTGATCCAGCAATTAGAAAAGCAGCTGCAGTATTTTTCAAGAATCGAGTTATTAAGAATTGGTCTCAGAATAGTCCAAATAAGATAGATGAAGATGAGAAACCAGTGATTAAAGATAGAATATTACCGGTTTTAGTTGCCAGTGATTATAATACTAAACAACAATTGATTCCAGTTTTGAGAGTTTTAGTGAGTAATGAATATCCAAAGAATTGGGATAATATTTTAATGACTACTTGTGACTTATTGAAACAAGTTCCTAACAATTCGATGAAGGATGAAGAATTTTCTCATTTATATACTGGATTATTATGTTTTACTGAAATTTTAAGAAAATTTAGATGGGTTACTAATGAAGATAGACAAGAATTGGATCCAATAATTATTCAAGTTTTCCCTCATTTACTTGATATTGGGAATTCAATTCTTGCTCATCATGAAAATATTACTGAATTTACTTCAGAAATATTAAAATTAATTTTAAAAGCTTATAAATTTGTTACTTATTATGATTTACCTCACCCTTTACAAACAAGAGAATTGTTAACTAGTTGGGCTGAATTTCATTGTTCAATTACTAATATGTCTCCTCCGGAATATGTTACTAATTCTAATGCTAGTGAACAAGAAAAAAATTTCTTACAAATTTCAAAATGTTATAAATGGTCAGTTGCAAATTTAAATAGACTTTTCACTAGGTATTCATCTAAAAGTTTATCAAGAAATTTTAATTATAAAGATTTTTATAATATGTTTCTAGATGATTTCATTCCTCAAATACTTAATACTTATTTATCAATTATTGAACAATGGTGTCATAATCAAAGGTGGTTGTCTTCTTCAAATCTTTATCATCTTTTACAATTTTTAAGTCATGGTGTAACTCAAAAAAAGACTTGGCTTCTTATCAAACCCTATTTTGAAAATTTGGTTTCTCATTTAATTTATCCTTTATTATGTCCTTCTGATCATATCTTAGAAATTTTTGAGAATGATCCTCATGAATATATTCATTCAAATTTTGATATTTATGATGGTTTAGACACTCCAGATGCTGCTGCTTTAGGCTTATTGGTTACTTTTGTTGATAAGCGTAGAAATACAACTTTGGAACCAATTATTACTTTTGCATATAAACAATTGAGTAGTTTACAAGAACAACCAGAAACTTTGGAAATTGCTAAAAAGAAAGATGGTGCTTTAAAATTAATTGGTGGAATCTCTCATTATGTGGTTATTCCTTCATCTCCTTATTATTCCCAAATGGAACCATTTTTAACTAATTTAGTTTTTCCGAATTTAACTTCAAAATTCGATTTTTTAAAAGCAGAAACTTTAGATATTTGCTCAAAATTCTCTGATTTAGAATTAAAAGATAATGAAAGTTTATCAATTTTATTTCATGGTATATTGAATAATTTTAACACGGATGAAAATTCAAGTTTACCAGTTAATTTACAATGTGCATTAGCTATTCAAGCTTATTTAGGATTACCTCAATTTCAAGAAGTTTTATCTACCATAATTTTACCAACAATGTCTAAATTATTAGAACTTTCCAATGAACTTGATAATGATGCAATTTCTGCAGTTATGCAAGAATGTGTTGAAAATTTTTCAGAACAATTACAACCTTTTGGTGTGGATTTAATGACTAAACTAGTTGAGCAATTTATGAGATTAGCTTATGAAATTAATGAAGCATCAAAAGTCGATATTGACGATTTTAATGGTGACTACGAAGATCAATCAGAAAAAGTCATGGCAGCTATTGGATTTTTAAATACTATGATCACAGTTCTACTTTCTTTCGAGAATTCAAAAGAAATTTGTACTAAATTAGAAGAAGTTTTTTCACCAGCCATTGAATTTGTTTTAGTTAATAGACTTGATGATTTCTTAGCAGAAGTATGCGAATTGATGGAGAATTCTACTTTCTTAGTCAGATATACAACACCAATAATGTGGAAAGATTTTGGCTTCCTTTGTGAAACCTTTGAAGATGGTATTGCATTGATGTACGTTGAAGAAATTACTCAATGCTTACAGAACTTCTTGATTTTTGGTCAAGATGAACTCATAAAAAACCCTCAATTGCAATCAAATTTTTTCAATATAATTAAGATAATACTTGCTAGTGAATCGAATGCCATTGGTCTTAATGATATTATCTTTGCTGCTGAATTAGCTCAAACTTTTATTTTATCGTTGCAAAATTACGGATCCGATTTCATCCAACCTATCATTACCAGTTTCTTACAAGTTGCTAAATCAGTGAATAATGAAGAGCAGCTCGTTAGAAACACTTCCTTTGACGTAAACATAAATAACATCATTGTTGGTGCATTAACATACGAACCAACTTTAACATTGAGTGTTTTACAGGAACGTGAAATGTTGAATAATTTTTTCAGAAGATGGTTCACTTTAATTCCAATGCTTAAAAGAGTTTTCGACTTGAAATTATCAATTATGGGTTTAATAAGCTTAATCAGTAACCCAAATGCATTCAACAGTTTAGACCAATCAATTGTTGAGCATTTAGGAACCAGTCTTGTTGCATTATTTAGTGAACTCCCAAATGCCCTTGAATCATTTGCAAAGAAACGTCAAACTTTCTCATATACCGACTTTTCCTCGAGCCAAGATTATTACCAAAATTGGGATGATGAGGATGAATTATCAGCAGAAGCGGTTTCCGAATACCTTGCTTCAGAAGATAGTGTCGATAAAGATGAAAACTCAACCCAAGCATACATGAATTTCTTACTGGAGGAAAACTCTAAGTTGAAAAATTCTGGCTTTTATGATGAAGATGAAGAACAAATCGTTGAGGATCCTTTAGTTACTACCCCGTTAGATAATATTGACGCATTTCAAATCTTTCGTGAATTTGGTGGATCTTTACAAGCCAATAATCCAAAAACCTATACATTGGTCTTTGGTACCCTTAACGATTCTCAACAGAACGTGATTAGACAAATTTTCGATAATCAACACGAATAAACTACTTCTTAATCTTTTTGATTTTCTTCATTTCGCATCCATCAAATTTGTGATACTCATATATAATACCCTCTTTTAGTTATTTCTGTTCCTTTATATGTAACTTTATTATATTTGAACGAGAAGTTTATAATTCTGTAAATTGATAACACCTTTCAATATCAATTAATCGCTTTAATTAAATACCATCATCATATAATCAACTTTTTAGGCTTTAAAATGGCTGCAAAAGTTTTCAGTCATCAATACAAGTTGATCAGTGTTATGAGCTTTTGGTATCTTTAGTTCACATTCACTGCCGTTTCTTCTCCAAATGCTCGAATTGGGTTTGTTTTCCTAGATAAATAGCAAGTCCGGCGAGGGATTTGTTTCTGCAAAATAAATTATAAAAAATTACAAAATATGTAAATATAAAATATAAAAATTTTTAGTAGCATAAATGATTTTTAATCTTGAGAATGTTCACCCAAAGTTAATAATGGTAGCCATAACGTTAAAAATAAAAGGCAAGACAAGAAATACTTTTAGGTTTTTAATAAGTCATTCTTAGGTAGCTCGTTCCTTCCTTTAAATATTTTATTCTAGTCATTTTGGGGAACAAGATGGGTAACTTTAAATTTGAATTGAGCTCACTCAACAATGAAAGCATGTGTGAAGTTATACGTGACTAACCACATTAGTAGCACATAACCGCATGGTCCAATACTGTTCATTTTATTTACAGCATATAAATCCCTATTTTATGTGATTTGTACCCCCTTACACTAAAATTTATTCTTAATTGTCAGCTTCAATTAAAAAAGACCTTCCTCAAAACAATATCATCTTTTTTTGGCTATAACAGAGGATATGCTGGTTATTTAAAATGACTATTCAAGCTAGAATACCTCAGGTCTATTAAGAGACAATAATGGTCAAACTAATTTTGACTGGCATGCCATTTGTACCAGAAACGTGAACATAATTTTAAACCAGTAAATTAAAGCACTCTTACATCCTGGCCCATAGTAATTCCTAGAAGATTAAAAAAAAAAAAAAAAAATCTTTTGGAACAACTAATTTAAACTGGACGTGAATTATAAGTTTCATTTTTAACAATATTCTAAAAACACTTAAAAAGTAGGATTATTGAGATCACTATTTCATGACTGAGGATCGAAAAGCGCCCAAAATCTAGTTCTCCGAGGTTTTCATTATGTTAGCAAACCAAACAATATACAAATTTATATTGCTTAAAAACGCTCAATTTACAAAAATTTCATAAAACAGGTCCCTTGGCCCAGTTGGTTAAGGCGTGGTGCTAATAACGCCAAGATCAGCAGTTCGATCCTGCTAGGGACCATTTTTTTGCAAATTAATCTCTTTAACATCCACCACACAAGTTTCTGGTTCTTCTATATATTGATTTCGTTCTTCATTTTGTCGTGAATAACTTCTTTTCACTATTGAAAAAAAAAATAGTTCAGGATTTCATATGACCAGACTACTCAAAGCGAATAACTTGTAACCCACCGGAATCTCCACTTTAGCCTGATTATCTGTAGAATCTTTTAATTGACTTACTTTGGTTTCGTCAATTTCTATGAAAAGTGAGTGATGGAGATTAGTTATTGCCACACGAGTAGTATGACAACCCAGGAGGTATCTGCCTACTTGCTTTATGATTGACTTAAAAGCCGTACTTGATTCATTAATTTTTCGGCCAACTTGTTAAAACGGACGCTTGACTTCAACAGCTACTAAAGGGATATTGTTCTTGCAATAAAGCAAGTCCTGTGTACCGCTGATATCCGACAGTCCAACACTGTCACTTGGCTGGCTATTAGTAGTCTTTTTATGTGTGCGGAGGTATACCCCTTTGGTTTAACTAACGCGCCCTCGTTTTGCAGCCATATCTTGATAAATTCATGGTTGTATATCTTGACGATATTTACTCTAAAACCATTAAAGAACATGCCAAACGTCTCAGATTAGCTCTTAATCTTTTTAGAAAGAATAGTCTAATTGCTGGAAAGAATAAATGTCAATTTTTCTTATATAAATTAATGAAAGGAATAGTGGTCGGAGTTCTGGAAGTATATATAACCAGTTACTAATCATAGTTTATCGGGTTGTGTGGGTAGATCAGACCTCTATCGTCCTCAAGTATGTACGAAATAAATACCTGTACCAGACTGGACGACCATAACACACGCAGTTAGCTATTAGTCAGATACATACTAATAACGATTAGTGGTGGATTAATTTACTAATTAGATTAATCTTTTAGCTGTTATTAAAGAGAGAATAACTTTATTACAATTAATGCTAATATAGTAAAAGCCATAAGTAGAATATATATATATTATTATTGTCATTACCGAATGAAAACTCTCTGTAGGGCATCGATCCAATCTTCAATCCATTAACCAATAGGATTAGCCACTTAGGTCCACACCACAAAAAGTCTTCTAGGCATTTCCATCAGATGAGGAAATGCCTACTTATTTATATACTTGTTCTCGTAAAAGATGCTCTCTTCCGATGTTGTTTCACAAAAGATGTTTGTAACACCCTTTGCTTAAACCTCAGCTTGATGATGTCTGTGATCTGCCTTGATGTAAATCAGGCCCAGAGATCACCGCCAGACCTTCACGATCTGACAGGGAAAGACTGTTTTAAGTCAAGAAAACCCATAATTTGAATTTAAAAAGCGCAAAAAAGCCGACCTTTTTTATTTTTTTTAAATAAGTGTTGTGTATTATACCATGCTATATGATGGATTTATAAGAAGTGAACTAATTAAACTAAAAATACATAAAATCTACCAATAGTAAATCAATCAACTTATAAAGCTAATAAAGCACCAGCAGCTAAAGCAACACCACCAACAGCAAATTGTTTAGCGGCACCAGCTTCGTAAGCAGAAGAAACATTAGCTGGAGCAGTGTAGTTACCAGCAGATGAAGTAGAAGCAACTGGAGCTTCAGAAGATTTGTGGGCTGGACAGTCAGTGACAGTGGAAGCACAGTCAGTAACAGTGACCAAAGTAGAAGAAGCGTCAGTTTCGGTGACGGTAGCAGCGACGGCAACGGCGGCGAATAAGGCGACAGTGGAGAATTGCATTGTAATTATTGAGCGAAAGACTAAGTTAAGAGCCGACCGTTAATAGTAAAACACGATTGTCATATGGTAATAATACCGACTTAGTAGACCATCCTGTTTTACCAAACAAAATCTGGGCGTGTGGCGTAGTTGGTAGCGCGTTCGCTTAGCATGCGAAAGGTCTTGGGTTCGACTCCCAACTCGTCCATTTTTTATTTTTTTGCAACCGGGATATTGATCATTTTTTGGGTTTCTAGACGGTATCCATAAATCGGCTACAGAGACTATATTATAATAAGGAATATAAAATTAAAGAACAGGAAAATAAATACGAAGAAAATGGAAAAAAAAGTGAACAAAAAAAAAAAAACAGTTGAAGAAAAGAGTCATTAGTAAAAAAACTTTATAAATATGGAAGAAAACAAAGAATAACTAAAAAAGCAAAATAATATGACATGATTGTATACGTCTCTTGAGTGAGAGAGTAGATTAGATAACAACTTTTTCGGCCAAACTCTTTTTATAGTCCAAGATAGAACCTTCCCATCTAGTTGCAGTTTTATTTTCAATGACAAAAATATCTTGAGCGATTTTATCTAATAATCTAAAATCGTGTGAAACAACAACAACACCACCGTTGAAAGCGTTAATAGCTTCAGCTAAGGAATCAATAGTAGATAAATCTAAACCGTTAGTAGGTTCATCTAATAAAATCAAATTAGGAGCTTCTAAAGCTAATAAAGCAAAGACAACTCTTGATCTTTGACCTTCAGATAAAGTAGCCATTTGAGAAGTTTGACCTTCACCAGTTAAACCATAACGACCTAATTGACTTCTCCAATATTGATAATCTTGAGAAATATGAGAAAATTTATCACGAACGAAATCCAAAGGAGTTTTAGTTAAATCTAATTGATCAGCAGAATGTTGAGAGTAAACACCTAACTTAATATGAGTATGTTGAATAACTCTACCTTCTTGAGGTTGTAAAATACCTTGGAATAATTTTAATAAGGTAGATTTACCAATACCATTTGGACCAACTAAAGCAACTCTTGAATCCATATCAATACCAATATCTAAACCTTCAAATAAGTTATCTTCCTTTTTACCACTATAAGCAAAAGACATGTTATCAAAAGCCAAAACTGGAGGAGGTAATTTATCAACATCAGGGAATCTAAAAGAGAAAACTTTATCAGGAATCACTGGTTGAATTAAACCATCAGCTTCCATTTTATCCAAAATTTTTTGTCTAGATTTAGCTTGTCTAACTAAATTAGCATAAGTACCAGCAGATGCAATGAATTTTTTAATATGAGCAATTTCTTCTTGTTGTTTATGATAACCTTTCATTTGATTAGTTTCCAATTCTTCTCTAGTTTTAACATAAGAATCATAATTACCACCATATAATTGAATTGATTTTAATCTCATATCAATCATATTGGTACAAACCCCATTTAAGAAATCTTGAGAATGAGAAACCAAGATAAGAATTCTATCAAATCTTTTCAAATATTCTTCTAACCAAACACAAGCAGCTAAATCTAAATGAGCAGTTGGATCATCTAATAATAAAAGTGTTGGTTTAACGAATAAAGCTTTAGCTAAAGCAACACGCATTCTCCAACCACCAGACATATCTCTGGTTCTCTTTTTAATAGTGACTGAATTAAAACCTAAACCAGTTAAAATAACTGCAGCTCTTGATTCAAAAGTAGCAGGATCCATTTCATCGATTTTTTCATATAAACCATCTAAAGATGGATCTTCGGGACCTTCTTTAACAATGATATCTTCAACCAAATTTTCCAATCTCTTCATTTCAGCTTCAGCTTCTCTAACAACGTATTCTAAAGCAGAATAATCGGTGGCAGCAGCTGGTTCATTCAATAAATAAACATCAATATGTTCAGGAATTGGGAATTCTCTTGCAGCCAAGGATCTCAATAAAGTGGATTTACCACAACCATTTTCACCCAATAAACCATATCTACGACCATAATTCAATTCCAAAACAGCATCTTGAATTAAAACTTTACCGTGGAATAAAAGCGAAACCGATGATAATTTAATATCTCTAGAGGTTTGTAATGATTCTAAAACACCAGTGGTAACTCTATCGGAAATACCAGATTCATCAGTTTGCAATTTCAATTTAGCAATTTGAGCATCGGCATCATCAACCTCTTTTTCTTCAGCATCTTTAGCTGCTTGTCTTTTGGTCTTCTTGGTGGATTTACCGGCTGCAGACTTGGCAGCTTCTCTTTCCAAACGTTTTTGCTCTCTTTTAGCTTTAGATGAGGAAACGGCAGACATTGTTTCTATTACTTACAATCAATAAGGAGTGAATTGTCTAATCCTTGAAAATAAAGAAGAACAAGTGAAAAAAAATTTACTCAGTACAATCGATGAAGAAAAAACTTTTGTTAGATGATCCTCACTCTTCGTTGAGTTTAAAAAAAAAAAAAAAAAAATTTTTTGTTAGGCCCTTCGAAGTACGGTATATAACCACAATACTTTGTACCTTTTACACTACATTCACCAGCTAACTAGTGAAATTTAACTATTTCCACTTACTTAAGCTGTTTTCTCGACTTTCCCGTAGGTGAAATAGTAGTAGCAGATTTTTTTTTCGGGTTGCTCTGCTTTCAAATTTTTCACTGCGATGCCAAACTCGTTGCACAACTACAGTGACAGTTGTGTGACAGTATGTGACGGTATGTGACGGTGTGCGACGGTGTGTGACAGTGACAGTAACAGTGACAGTATACTTCTATATCGTAACAATCTATCAGTAGTAGTAGCAGTAGCAGTAGTAGTAGCAGTAGCAGTAGCAGTAGCAGTAGCAGTAGCAGTAGCAGTAACAGGGCTGGATCGACAAGAGGCCCATACACCAGAGGTACGGATGTGAATTTAGGCTTCTCGCGTTTGCCGCTGAGGGCAAACTTTTGCAAGTCAAGCTGGCGGCAACTAGAAGAACTGAAGGAATCATAGAATAAACCTATGATATCAAGTACTTCTTCATCATAAGCTTGTCGATAGTTACCAGAGTTGACATAAGTGTTTGAAAAACAATTGGGAAGTTGTGCACGCCGTCAAGAGATTGAGTATGGGTGTTCCAAAAAGTAATGAGCTTCCAGCTCCAATTCCAATAAAAAGACAAAACTCTTCTCAGAGATCGGTGTTTAGTCTGTCGTATGATAAGGAGAACACTGAAGAGGAAAGTTACCGTTCATTGACACCGCAAACTCATCAACGAGTGCAAAGAAGAAGACCTTCTTATAGCACGATTGAATCTAGTCGAGAAACTCATTACAATTTAGATTACCCTGATAATCTTGATGAAATTGAAAAAGTTCAATTGGATCCCAAGTCGAGATTCTTTGCTAGATCAAGACCTAGAACTTTGAATTTACCTAGATTACTCCCTTATAAAACTGAGCTGCCAACTGATCGAGCAAAATTCTTAAGTCATATTGTATCTCATTTATATATTGCAATAAAGTCTTTGGATATTCAAGGATCTTTATCAATTACCGCAAAGGACTTGGCGTCTTTAAAAGACGTTAGTGGACTTTCAGATATAGATCTAGTCTTGGAAACTAATTTATTCGAAACTGGGTCTAGTAAAGCCTCAAATAATACCGATGATGATGAAGCAAGTAATTATTTTTCGGTGGAAGATATGGCCGATTCAGACAGTGAATTTGAAGGTGATGAAGATGATGAAATTGATGCAGAAGGTGACGAAGATGATACAAGTGATTCTGCAGTTCAACATAAAAAACCTCCTAAATCAGCTGCGGTAGTTAGTGTACGTATCTGGACTCATGAATTGCTTGTTTGGCTCAAAATGAAATATGATATGCCCCTTTCTTTAAGAATAAGCCTCGCTAAAGTTTATTATGCATTATGTTTATGCAGAGGTCAACTTATCAACTTGAAAATATATGTGAAAACTTTTGAAATCTTAACGAAAGATACAGAATTATTAAGAGATCATGGTTTAATCTTACCGTGGGAAGATTTATATAATGAATTAAATAATCATTTCCCATCCATCGATAGCTCTCTAGATGCATTTGAAAAGAAAGAACATCGCCAACTATTAAAATTGGCTGAAAGAGCCTCCTCTTTTTACCCGGCAGAGGCCTTACCTGCCATTTTTGCAAAATTGGGTAGTAAGTTTTCAATATTTAGTGCTTTATTGGTTCTTTCTTCAATGTCAATGCTTCCATTAACTTTTGTTCCTGAAGGTTCCTCTAGTAAATATGACATCCGTCATTATATTCCTTCCTTCTTTTATATCTGGAATAAATTGAGCAAGAGCTCGGGTATAGACTCTCATCTAACGTCAAGAATTGGTACCATTGCCATGTCTTCTCTTGTTGAATTAACCAAGCCTAATGTTCAATCCTATTTGCATCTTGGTAAATCAGGGGTTTTCTCCGATGATCAAATGGAATATCTCATCCAAGTTTTAATCAATAGTCTAAGTATAAGACCAGAGAAATTCGGTTCCATGAAGGCGAAGTTTTTCCATGGTTTTGCATCAGCAATTGTATTCTCCATGAATGGTGATACTTGTCTTGAAGAAGGAGGGGCAGTTTGTCATTTAAAAAATTTGCTTAATGCAATTGAAAGTTATGTTCATCCTTCGAATAGTGGTGAGTGGACTCGCCCCATTTCTAAATTGGTTTTGAGCTTGATTTATCAATTTCATAAACGTTTTAACCTTGAACGTGAAAAAAATGGTTTATTGAATAACCTTCCTCCACATTATGCGTTGACAGATAAGGTAGTTGATACTTTTGTTCAAATTTTCTTACCTTTAGTTAAAACCGGTATCCATTCTAAGAAAGAAAGTGCTGCTGATGATTATTTATCTTGTGCTAATTTATTGGCATATCTTAGACCAGAAAAAGTATTAGAATATTTAACTCCGGATATTTATGAGTCGTTGGAAGGTGTTCTTTCTACTCATAGAGTCGTGATTGCCCTCAGAACTATTGAGGAATTATCCCGTTTTTATGCATCTACCCCAGTTTACAGGGTTCATCTTACTAGGATTTTATCTCTAGCATTACCAGGTATTGATTCTAATGACTTAGAGAAGACTATACACACATTGAATACAATAGCATCTGTTGCAAACTTTGTTCCATTTTACGATCTTACAAATGGTGAAGGTGAAGCTACATTGGCATTAGAATTTACTCAAAATCACCTTCAATATTTGCAGACTCAATTATTCGAAAATTGTGATGTTTCTGACGAGTTTGGTGAAGTCAATTTCGATATAAACGAAGAAATAGAAGTTAGTGCTTTGAAATCATCCTCATCTGCTTTTCAACTGTTGATGAAGACTTTCGCCCAAAAAATATTCATTTTACTCGAAAATATCCCCGATCCTTCTAAGAGTACAGGTATTGAAAAAGATTTATGCAGTTCATTACCAAAATTCATATTTGTTATATTGGAATCATTGAGTGATGATATATTCAAGTCTTTTAGAAAAGATTTTGTTGAATTTATTACTGAAAATACCTATTATACAATTTCAGATGTCATTGCTGAAATAATGGGTGGGATGATCAAGCGTGATCCAGCTTACCTAAAAACTTTGGCTCCCATACTTATGGACAGAGTGCGAGATGAAATAACAGAAAATGGGGCTGGGGTCTCTAGGACTGGTGTTGATATTGTTCCTCGAGATCAACCTCTATTCTGGAATCTCACTATTTTGAATGAATGTGTGGGAAATGGAGGTGAGTATGTTGTTTCTCTTGGAAAGGACTTAAATGAATTTTCGTTCTATATCATGCAACATGTAAAGGGACCGGCTGTATTTTCTAGTTCTTACCTTTTGAATCAAATTTTACAAGCCACAACTAAGATCAGGTTATCCGAAAGCAGATTAATTGCGCCAGCCTACCAGGCTAAATACGGTGTCGATGAAAAATGCTGGGGTGGGTTTCAATTTGATGAGTATAGGTTCTCTGAAGAATCATTGACATTTGGTTGGTTTATCCCGACTGAAAGAGAGGTCAAATTTGCTGCCGAGACTTTCAACGATCATGTTACAAAATTATTAAGTAACATCCAGGTTATAATGAAAGAATACTCGAGCGAAGGAAGTAAAGACACGCTTCATCTCACAGATGAATTGAGAATGAACCTTTTGTATTTGAGTTATGCCCTGAGTGGTATATCATTCTTGTTGGATCCATCTTTTGAAGAAGATATTCCAAAGTTAAGTCAAAATCAATCTGAATCCATTCAACAGCGTCTTGCTTTATTGAAACAAATTAGAGGCATGAAAACTTCTAAGAGCTCAAGCGATGATGAGTTACGCCACGAAAACTTGCATGAGAATTTACAAAGAATAGTTGAGGACATTGAAAATAATGATTTGATTGAATATATGATTGATTTTGATAAATTAGAAGACTTCAATACCTCCATGATCGATGAAGATGAAGATATGGACAAAGATTCTAGTAAACAACATCTCAAAGTTGACCATAGCAGCTATTCAAAAAATCGAGATATATTGGCGTTTAGCAAGTCGGGCTCCCCTGCCAACTCCATTGATCCATCAGCTAGAGCTACTCCATCAATTGAGGGTGTTGATATGTCTTCAATGGATCCCGGCATCACTTTTAGAGAAAGAAAGCTTTATACCTCTCGTTATTTTTTTGGTGATGATATGGAAACAAAGAGATCAAATGAACTCTATCTCAAGATTCATAAGACACGTCACTTGATTGGTAAAAGCTTACATTTAATTGGTAAATTCATGAATGCTCATTTCAAAGATGATACTAAAATCTTCAAGCACTACTTATATGCACTTAATATCTGGTTCTCCGATGTAGGAAGGGATCGTATTCTTGAAAATAGTCACGCTAAAATTAGTTCATTTTACGTTGAGACTATCCAGCATATCAACAGAGTGCGTAAGCCTTATACCAGAATCCTGTTTGGATCTAGAATAGAAGGATATCATCTGTTGAGAGTTGCATTACATTCCACTTCGAGAACCCAGACTGACTTGGATAAATTGTTACTTGAGGATGTTGTGAAGTTGTCTTTTTCGACTTATGCAACTATTGCATCGGCTGCAAGAATTACTTTAGTGGATGCAATGAAAAGACTCAATGGCTCATATAATGTAATTGCCAGGTTATCTTTTAGGTACTTAAGCAAAGCTTTTGAAGAGGATGACTTCAAGAAGATTGAAAGTGGGTTGAACATTTTTGCATTGAGAAGAATCAAACATAAAATACAGAATGACTATTTTAACCTCCAAAAGTATGTTGAATTACTTCATCGTTGTTTAGCTATTGATAACCTTGAAGTCAATGAGATTGCCCAAAAACTTTTTAAAGGTGTTTACAGTACAATTACTCCTCCAAGCAGTGTTTGTCTTATTGATTCATCAGCAATCGATACTATTAGACCACCTGATGAATTTATTGATTTGGAAATTAAAGCAGTGAAATTAGCTAAAGAACGAAAAAGAAAGCTTTATCTTGAAAAGCTTAGCAAATTGGAAGAAAGTGTTATAAGCAATGAAAAGCATAATGGCCATTGGAAAACAACATCGCTTAACTTATTCTTATTGATCGATATGCAACTCGATTACGAAATTCCGATTAATAACGATGTATTCCAAATTTTAGCCAAGGAAGCTTCCAATGACCATCCGCTTGTTTCAAGATTGGCATTGAAGGGTATTCATAAACTCGTCAATAAACTTTATGTCCTTCAGCTATACAATTACGAGCTCAAGAATATGTATGATTTTTCATATATACCCAAAGATTTCAAGATTATTAAATGCTCTTCTGAATCTAATTTATATCTGAAGTTGTGGCAACAGGAATTCAAGAATTTAGACCACCCCGATTTTTTTATCGATCATAAGGCAAATAATGGGTGGTTATTCTGGGATGAAAATATGTTAGCGGTCACCCCGAAACCTTGCCATGAATTGGATTTAACACCAAATGATTCTCACATTTTGAAGGCTTTTGGTAATTGTGTTAATAGAGAATGGTTCATCAATATTGTCAAATTATGGATTGCAGATAATGAGACCACATCAGCATTTCAGGGGACTGATGTTTCTGTAACTGCGTCTATTGTATCCTTAATTTCAAATGGGTATATCGAGAACTTTACATTCGAAGAGTTTTTGAAAGTGATAGAAGAGATTTATGTTTCGGACGATAAAGGTACTCATATCGTTGTTTGTGAATTACTTGCTGGTGCCTTGATTGCTTCGAAGACCGTTAGTCACGAGATTTCCATAAAAAGAGATGCTTTTATTGTTAAGTTGTTGACAAAAATATTTGAAGCAGATTTATCTCCAGATAATGCAGGTGTATGGAGCATATTCTCATGGTGGGTACCATCTCATATCGATTGGCGAAGATTTCCTCAAGTTTTTAATCTAGTAACTGGATTCACTATCAATTCGGATTCTGATAGTGCAATTAAAGATGCCACAAGATTAGGATTCGCTGGATCATTCATATCGACAGTTACTTGGACATATTCAGATCCTGAAAAAATTTTATCAATGTGTCTTCAAAATATCAATAATAAATACCAAGCAATTAGAGATCAGGTTGGGTCTCTAATTGCTATTACATCTTTCACTTTTTTCCCTGAATCTGTATCAAATGGAGAGACATTTGCTAACAGTTGTTACCAAGATGATGGGAAAATTTTGTATGAGAACAATAAGCATAATATGTTATTACAGCTGTTACCGGGGGTGTTCAATAATATTGAAAAGTGGAGATTGGAAGTTGAAAACTTAACTCCACAGGAGATCTTAAAATCAGATTACATATACGCTGCTACCACCGTGTTAACATTTTTGAGACAATCATTGAACACAAGTATTGCAATTTTATATCAAGACTATGTTGATACATTAATTATTCCATTTTTGCTTGGATTGATCAATATGAAGGAAGTTTGTCAACTAGGCAATATTGATCCAATAACTCCATTTAAAAAAGTTTCCCAAATTCCGTTTAACAAAGCATCATTAGAGAGAATTGTCAGAATGCTTGAAGGTAACGTATCGAAAACCTTGAACGTTGTGCAATTACTTATAATCGGAGAATTCACCGAAACAATTTATTTTAAGAATTTGTTCAGTCTCGACAAAAGCCAAAGACAAAGAATAATCAAATTGACTGATAATTTAATATATCATAAGAATGTACAAGTTAGGGAATCTGAAGCATCTACATTGTCTGGACTTATTCACACCTCTCCACCAGCTGAAGTAGAAGAATTAGTCAAAATTTTCACGAAAAAGTATTCAAGTGAACTTGATAAATTAAGAAAGAAGTATAAGAAAAATGGGTTTAAAAATATTTCTACTGAAGATAGCACTGTATTACATGGTGCCACTTTAGGATTGGGTGCCTTGGTGCATGCTTTCCCATACATGTCACCTCCTCCTCAATGGGTTCCTAAAGTTTTAACCATCATTGCAAATAAATGTACTGGTATTCCAGGAGTTGTTGGTAAAACTGCGAAAGATACTCTAGGAAGATTCAAGAAAACACGCCAGGATACATGGCACATTGATAGCCGAGTATTCAGTGAAGAACAATCTCAGGACTTAGAAGGGGTCTTGTGGAAAAGTTACATTATTTAGGATTCTATATATGTGTACTATACTTATCTGTATATAATTGACGGACAGTTTGATTTCAAACAATTTTATTTTATTGTAGAGATCCTTTTTATGTTGTGATTGGTAAACTAGTTCGCAATTTTGAACAAAAAATGTAAAATCCTCAAGAAAAGGGCGAGGATATCTTTGCCACAAGTTACAAAACTCAAAGTATTCACAACTGAAGACAGCTACATAGTTTAAATAAGAATTAAATTTAGCCATAGAATTATATAAATTAAGATATTAATTAAGCAAAATAATGCAATGAGAAAATTATTGAAATAAAATGACGGTTTATTCGTCCAATTCAGGAGCATATGCGTATTTTGAGTGTCTTCTAATTCTAGCACCAAAGAAGAAGAATAAATAAGGAATTATACAACAGGCCAAAGAAATAAAAGCCATTAATGAAGTTGCCCATTGGTCTCCTAGGCGATGATACATTTGGATAGTAAACAAAGGAACACAAGCACCCCAAATTGATCTGACGAAAGTTTTAGCAGCCAATCCACTAGCGGCATAGTGTTGATAAGAGTCAACAATGTAGTTATTTGCAGGATTATATAAAGCACAGAAACCGAAACCACAAGCAAAACCACTAAAACAAGGACCTGCCCAAGAGATATCAGAGTAAGAGGACCAGGCAAAAGAGAATAAACCTATTGGAACAAACCAACAAGCAATCATCATAGGAATAAGTCTCAATTCTGGAGGAGGAAGTTCACCCTTATCCCTATATACTTGAGCTCTCTTATTATAATCTTTATTAATAAGAGGAGACACGGCAGTAGAAAGAATGACACCAGCACCAATTGGTAAGAACATGACCCCAGTCATCAGCGCAGACCAACCTTTATCTTCCATATAAACAACTGGATAAGCAAAGAAAAACATGTATAATAAACCATAAATAACCGACATGTATAAGGTAATTAAAAACACAATTAATTCTCCTAGTAAGATAAGAGGTCTTAATAAAGATTGTTTGGCAGTTTCCTTAAAATTTTTAGGAGCAAGTTCTGCAAAAGTTTTATAACTTTGATCACCAGTTTTCTTTCTTAACCATTTCGAACGTCTTTTCAAAATGGTAGGACCATGAGTTTCAGGAATTAAAATCATGAAAAGGCCCACGAAGAAACCTGAAATGATTAAAAAAGCCCAAAAGACCCATCTCCAGGTTGAAGTGTAATCACCTAACAAACCACCAAAGATAGGACCCATAACTGGACCAATAAAAGGAGCAGCAGAAAAGACACTCATTGCTTTACCACGATCTTTAGCATCCCAAATATCAGCTAAACTACCCCCGATTAAAGTCATTGGAGCAGAGAAAAAGATACCATCGAGTAAACGACAAATAAGCATAGTTGCAATATTCTTAGCCAAAGCACAAGGAATAACAAAGATTACTGCTAAAACCAAGGTTGGGAAGTAAACAGCATTTCTTCCAAGTTCTTCAGATAAACCAGCAACGAAAAGAGGACCAACACCGAAACCAATAACGAAAACCGTTACTTCTGATAAAATGATTACTTCTTCACTAACTTCGAAATACTCAGCGGGGCCGGCAATATCACCAGTAACAATTGCACTACCCAAGGCAACAATAAAACAAATTAAGCCTAAGATACAAGTAATAAGCCATTTATGAGCGGTAGACATATTTTTTGGATTTTTTTTATCATCTTGAACAAATTCAACAATTCTTAAACCTGTTTCTTTATCAATTGGATAATTCCAAGGATCTTCTGGGTTATAAGTAGTATTTGGATCAGGATGGGTTTCAACTTTAACTAAGTCGTAAGGTTGTTCTAAAGGACCCAAAGAACCAGCACCTTCTTCTAATTTGCTAACCACTTTATGGATTCCTTCTTCATGTGCTTGAGTTCCTTCATATCTATTGATATTTTCACTCGAAGACTCAAATGAACTATCAGCTTGATTTACTTCTTGATCTTTCTCAGACATCCTTGATTTTGAAGAGAACAAAGACTAGCGAAGTGGAGGGTTCCCATAACATATATATATATGTGTGTATATCCATCGGGAAAAGGATATTTTCCATGGATACTTTAATTTATTCAAACATTATTATTCCAGTATTATTTGTTATGCGAGGATCTCGAAACACCGACGTGCCTTTATAGATCGGCATGGAGAAAAGACAAAAAAAAACAAAAAAAAGCTCAATTCTATTACCCAAATCCTCATTTGTGTATCGAGGTTATAAGAGCACATTCTTTTTTTACCGTTTTGGTCCCTTCATTGGGAAGTTCTCGCCGTGCGTTCGTTAAGGTTAAGCCAAAAAACGAAGTAATTGCAAAAAAAATGCAAAAAAAAATGCAAAAAAAGCGCATCGGTTGTAAAAACAAGGCTTTAGTGAGTTTTTGTCGCAAAAATTCTCTCAATCGGCGTTTAAATTTGACCGATGCTCTGTCAAAGTAGCAATTTTCAACATCAACAAAAAACTACTTCAAATTCGGTTGTGGAATAGAGGAGTAGATGTTGATGGAGCAAATGAGGTTGATAGAGTTGCTGGAGCAAATGAAAAGAGAGTAGTAGTAGGAGTAGTAGTAGGAGTAGTAGTAGGAGTAGTAGTAGGAGTAGTAGTAGGAGTAGTGGTAGGAGTAGTGGTAGGAGTAGTGGTAGGAGTAGTGGTAGGAGTAGTGGTAGGAGTAGATGAATGGTGTTGCAGATGAATGGTGTTGCAGATGAATGGAGTCCTCTATGCGTTGATTAACTCATTCATTCATTGATCTGGCTGTTGATTTGCTTGGTCCAACTCATTTGGCCGGTTTGGATAAACCATGCGAGAATTAACATAATAAGGTTGATTGAGCGTTTGAGCGACTTGATTGATTTGACCGGCGAGCGAGTTTAGTTGAGCGGCCAAATGAGAGATTTGAAAGGCCAAATAGTTTATCTGGGCATTTTGGTCAAGAAGGAAGGTCTGGGAATATGGAGTAACAGAGGCCTTGTTTTCTTGGTAAGAACTTTGTTGGTTTTGAGGTTGAGGTTGGGGATGAGTAGCTTGAGGAAGCTGAGTGGGTTGAGTGGGTTGATTTGTCTGTTGAACACTCCTGACTGGATCGCTTCTGATCGGGTTACTCCGTTGGCCTTTATTGCTTTGTTGAGCTGGTGTGTTACCATGACTTACCGACTTATCGACTTTACTACGCTTTCTCTTCTTCTTGGGTTGGGCCTCCTTGGTTGCATCCTGACTCGCATCCTTACCAAAGTAATTAGACAAAGAAACCAAGTAATTCAACTGGGAACAGTCTTCAGGAAGTACCGTACCGGGAATACTCCGTGGGAGTGCTGGGTTCACGGTCTGCGTAGCAGCCATGTCACTCACGGAAGCGCCCGTTCCAGCCTGGAGCATGTTCTGGCCAGCCTTGACTGCTCTTGACATATCACAGGACGTCAAAGAAGAAGTACTTGAGGAAGTGGTGATGAACAAGTGGTGGAGAAAGTAGTGAAGAACAAGTAGTGAAGAACAAGTAGTGAAGAACAGGTAGTGAAGAACAAGTAGTGAAGAACAAGTAGTGAAGAACAAGTAGTGAAG